GCCCCCAAGGTTGTGCTGGCCCCGGGCGTCTTCATGCTCTTCCTCGAGGTCGGCGAGGAGGTCCCCCCCTCGCGACAGGAGCCTCAGCCGCCTACAGACACTGCTCCAGTCATGCTCCCGTCATCGTCCCCGGAGCACCACCTTCGCTGAGGCGCTTCCTGGGCGCCGCCTGCACAAAGAAGTCTAGGGAGCCCGGCGCCTTCATCCACCACCGCGGAGGTCCCCGCTCCGGGGGGGGGGGGGGCTTCGCCGTCAGCACCCGAGCCAGCGCCAGGCGATGATGCAGCGGCTGCTCAAGCGGGGCGAGTCTTCTGGCCGCTGCGACGACAACGAGGCGACTGCCCGCGCCGCCGCGCCATCGCACACTACCGCTCCACGTCCGCCGCCCCATCCGCCTCCTGCTGCCACGCGAGCGCCCTTGCGCAGCCAGCCTCCAGGCCGGAGCGCCCACCCCCGCTCACCCCCTCGCACGCGCCGGCCTCCCTCGACCTCTTTGTGCAGGCGACCATCCGCAAGCGCTTCCGCACCTACCTCGACGAGTCGATGCCGGTGGTGGAGGCGCTGGAGGCGCGGGGCTTGGTGCGGCGCGTCTCTGCCGAGGGCTCGGCCGACGCGGTGCGTTGCAGAGAGTTGTCGCACCGGCCGCGTGCACCCAAAGACACGGATCCGGTCACAAAACACGGAGCAGATCACCCGGTCGCGCATGCTCCTCGCCGGGCCAGTCCACCCACGCACGCCCCGGCAGGCAGTCGCACCTCACAGCCCCGGGCGGCTTGACGCCTCCGAGCGCTTGGCCTCACGCGCTGCTGCGCACCGCCGCTTGGCCTCACCGCTGCGCCACCACCCTGAGTGCAGGTCTTTGCTGCCGTGCTCGATGCCTTTGCGGACCAGCGACTTGGCGCCACGCGAGCCACCGGATGATCGGGACACTCACACGCGCACGAAGCGGGGTCCGCGCCTGGCCGGATCGCCTTTCTCGTTGCTGGATCGATGTGGTGTCGGTCAGAGAGTTGTGAGGGGTTACGTCGAATAATAAGAGATGTATATGTGATGAGAAAACCCGGGCGCCGGGGTAAGCGCGCACGTTTTTTTAACCGCGCGCCGCCGGCCACAATGTGGCCGCCCGGCCCGCCGGCGCCGCCGCGGGCCCGCCGGCGCCGGGCCCGCGCGCCCCGCTCTCTCTCGCCTCCAGTGCCCAGAGCGCCCCCCTGCGCCCTGGCCCAGACCGGACGCACTGTGGCGAACGAGCCAGCAGAAAGTGGCAAAAACGGTACCAGCAGAATGGCGCGTTCTCGCCCCCTTTCCTGTACGCGTGGGTCTCAGAGGACGAATGCGCACCGGGCCTTCGAGGACATCAAAGTCGGCTGCGCCCTACGGCCATCCCGCCGGCTCTCGAGTGTCGCAGCGCGACGCGCTTCACCCCTCACTCCGCGCTGCGAGTCGATCTGGAGACGACGCTCGGCCACCGCCAACTCCACCCTGACGCGTCGCACATGCGCCGAGTGTCCCCCCCGAGGGTGTCCTTGTATAGTATGCTTGGTTGCGAGTTAAAAAAAGCCCGTTCCGCACCCGCAGCCAGCACCAGTACACATGCCGTTCTGGTGCCCCTCGGCTGGCCAGAGGACGACTCACAATGCAAAATCGGAAAGACATCACGAGGGGCCGTATAAACGGTGCCGCAGCGGCCCGGGACACTAACAGTGAATTGCTGCCACTCGCCCGGCCTCCTCCCCCTCGGGGTCGCCCGGAAAGTGGGCTTGCGCACCGGCGCCCCCCCCAGCACGCCGACCCGAGGTGTACCCTCCGGCCACCTGGGAGCGGAGTCCGATTTTGGCCCATTAGCTTCACCATGATGGATACGGAGGTGGCCAGCCCTTGGTTGTGCACCTGCGGCGCGAAGAGGAGGTGATCTCGTCGGACGAAGGCCGTGCCGAGAGCGCGCGCAGCGCGGAAGAGGGTGCGCAGCGCGTCGCGGCCGCGCACTTGGGAGCCGAGGGGATGGCCGGAGGGGGCGGGACGCCTGCATGTCCTCGAAGCTCCCATCCGCATACGCAAGCCGAGCAGCGAACGGCGGCGAGAGAGTTTGGCAGGGTCAGCAAGGACCGCGCATGGCGAAGGACCCGATTTTGCTACTTTTGCTGTTTTTCGCTGCCCATCGTGCGAGAGACCGCGGGCTAGACACGACGAGAGAGACCGCCCGCGAGACCGCGGCCGCGGCTCAGACCCGAGACCGCACGAGACCCCAGAGCCCAGACGGTTCCGCAGACGCATGCCCAGACGTGAGACGACTCCTTCTCTCGCGGCGTCTCGCCGCGCGTCGATAGTTTCTCTCCTCAACACACTCTGGCTATCTCTCTCACGTAGATCTGTGGAAGCTGTCGACTCACTACACGACTCGCGCCCGCCCGTATTGCGTCAGGGACTCGCGCCCGCCCGTATTGCGTCAGGAGCTATTACCTCCCACCTCCGGCGCGAGATCGCACAACGCTCTCGAGATCGTACCTCGCCACGTCCCGCCACATCCCAGGCTGTCTCCGTCGCGCGCCTCGCACGGACGAGGACGACAAAAGCCCTCGTCAGTCAGGGCTCAGGCACCGCCAGTACCGCCGCTGCACTGCCTTGGCCTCATCGATGCTCCGGCGGGCGGCGGCTGCCGCCGAGCCCTCATGTGCGCGGCGCCGCGCAGACGGCGTGCCCTTGTCGCCGCCCTGTCCGAACCCGTCCCGCGCCAAGCGCAGCCTTGCCGCCTGCCGCTCGGCGGCGCGAGCCTCCCGGCTGCTCTGAGCCTGCTCGGCGCCGGCAGACGCGGCCAGCTTCTTCAGCTCGCGCGCCGCGCGCTCACCAACGGGCGTCGCCGGCGCTTCCTTGGAGGGCGTGTCCCCTGCCGCCCGCGCCCGCCCGCCGCGCCTCGGCGCAACGGCCGAAGCGGGAGCCGCGACCGCGAAGGCGGCGGCGGCGGCGGCGGCGGCTTCAGCGGAAGCGGCGGCGGCGGCGGCGGCGGCGGCGGCGGCTTCAGCGGAAGCGGCGGCGGCGGCGGCATCGGCGGCGGCGGCATCGGCGGCCGCTGCGGCAGCAGCGGACGGCGTGGAGTCGAGACCGAGTAGCGCTGCCATTGTGGCGGCACCGCACGCGGCAGTGGCCGAGATGGAGTAGCCGCCCTCGAGTGCCACGACCAGCCGCCCCCCCGCGAGGCGCATCAGCCGGCGGGTGAGCGCGTGGTAGCCGGCCGGAGTGACGTGGCAGCCTCCAAGGGGGTCCCCCTCCGCCGCGTCGTACCCGGCCGCGACGATGACGAGGTCGGGGCTGAACTCGGTCGCGATCGGGAGTAGCAGCTCGTCCCACACGGCCAAGTACTCGGCGTCGCCCGGCCTGGAGGCGGAGCCGCGCGTGTTCCAGCCGACGTTGACGCTCGTGCCCTCGCCGACTCCCTTGCCCACGCCGCTCGGCGACATCTCGGCTGCATACTCCGCCCCCGCCACGTCCACGTCGGCGGGGAAGAAGGTTCCGCGCTCGAGCCGGTGGACGCTAAAGTACAGCACGGACGGGTCGGCCTCGAAGGCGCGCTGGATGCCGTTGCCGTGGTGGATGTCCCAGTCGACGACCAGAACGCGCCGCGCGCCCAGCGCCGCGCGAGCGTGCGCGGCCGCCGCGGCCACCGAGTTAATGACGCAGAACCCCATCGCTCGGTGGCGCTCGGCGTGGTGGCCTGGCGGCCGCACGACGGCGAGCCCGTTGCGCGCACGCCCCGCCATCACCTCCTCGGTTAGCGCGAGCAGCGAGCCGCACGCGAGCCGCGCAGCGGTGAGTGAGCCGGCGCCGTTGAGGTAGAGCGAGTCCTGCTGTTCGCACCAGCGGCGGAGCTCGCTCGCCTCCAGCCGAACGACCTCCTCGAGACGTCGCCAATGCGAGCGCTCGTGCACCAGGCAAATCTCGTCCTCGGTCGCCAGCCGGGCGGGCACGCGCAGCGCCGCGCCAGCAAGCCCCTCGGCGCAGAGCTCCGCCCAGAGCGCGGTGGCGCGAGCGGGCTGCTCCGGGTGCGAGCCCCCAGGGTAGTGGTGGCCAGAGGAGCCCCCCTCCTCGTACACGAGCGCGCTGCGCGCCAGGTGTGCCGAAGACACCAAGGCAGCCGGGCCTGCCTCGGCCATGCGCGGCGAGATTGCAACCTCCACGCCGCCGCCAGCCGCAGCCGGCTTAATGACAACCCGCAGCGCCGCGCATGGCTCGTGGAGTGTCAGGCGATGGAGGGCGCGCTCGAGAGGGGCCTCGTCGCAAGGGGGGGGGGCGACGCTGCGCTGGCTCGAAGAGGTCCCGCGTTCAGCCAAATCGTGAGGACGCACGGTAGGCGTCGCGAGGCAGCAGCTTGCGGGCGGTGGCGGCGGGGGAGGAGCCGGTGCAAGGGCAGGGGAAGGGGGTGGCGGCGGAGTAACATTTATAGTCTGGCAGCCCTGGCAGCCCCGCGGCGACAGCGGGTTTCTCGCGGGGAGGGCCAGGTCCCTGTCACGAGGTGTTTTGGAGTGCTTGGTCCCGAGGTCCGCCTCGGGCGTCTCCGGCGTCGTCGATGCACCCAAGGGCACTCGCTCCAGAGGGCGTCGCGGAGTGGCGTCTGGGACCGCTCGCGCAGCGGCCCAGGGGTCCAAACGCATTCGAGCGAGGACAGGCGGAGGCGAGCGAGCGAGGAGCGCTGGCGTATTGGTGCTCTCGATTTGAAGACAAACGCGTTCTGACTAACTTACTCTCGAGGTTCTCGAGGTGGATAGGATTCCTATCCTTTGGCCGCGTTGGGTAGCGATGATTGGTGTAACTCGTCACGGCCAATCATCGTGACTTACAGGCACGGCGTATACCCTGGCCACCATATGCGGGCCGACGTATGCGCCGCGAGCACCTATTGCCCTATAGGCGAGCTCTAACCGGCGGGCTCCAGCGCAGCCACGAGCGAGGCCGAGCCGCAACTCGCGGCCTTCCGGCCTAGATGGAGGCGCGCTCAGCCTCACGCGGCGAGCGCCTCCATCATCTTCGCCTCATACGCAGAGTCCAGAGAGAGAGTGTCGTGAACTTGTTGGTTCTCAAAAATCTCTCTCTCCCCCATACGCATCCTCGCTCGTCGGCTGCCCCAGCACGCACGCAGAGCACAGGAGCATATTAGACGTCTGGGGTTCCGCTGCTGCTGTGTGTGCGCTGTGCAGCAAAACCAACGTGACCTCCACCCGGCGAGCGGAGCCAGCCGCCAATGAAACAATCAGCGAGCCGCCAATAAAACAATGATCAATGTTGGTTGTGTGCATGGCGGCGGGGCCGCGGGGAGCACAGAGAGAGCGGAGAGCGGGTTGGAGAGCTCGGGGGGGGGGGGGGGGGCGGTGTGTGTGTGTGCATGGGCCATGGGCCATGCGCTCGGGCGGCATCTTTTCCGCGGATTTTCACTTTCGCAGGAGGCGATAAAGGCACCCCGCTGTGCCTCAATGACGACCGTGAGGCAAGTGCCGCGCCGCTACATGTTTGTTGCTAAAGTTTGCGCAGCCGAGCAGCGGCCGCCCCCATCGCAGCTCTGCCTTCTCCGCCGCCTTGGCAAGGCGCTTGAAGGCCATGGCGTACAGAGCACGGTCATCCGAGGTCAGGTTGTCAAGTAGCGCACGTTCGTTCTCTTGCAGTGCTAGTAGGCTCGGGGGCACGCTAGACGTGTTGTGGTCAATGACGGTCACGGTCGGCGGACCACGCGCGCAGTCGCACTGCACGATGGGCTGCGCGTGCATGGTTTGCAGGGCCACGCAGAGCGACACAGCGTAGTGTTCGGTGACGCCCACCGCGCGCGCTCTCCTGACAACATCGGCCGCGACGTCGAATCGTGCGGGCGAGTGCCATCGCGCGTCGAGCTGCACACCTCGCTTCTTCGGCCTGCCCTTGATGTCACGACTGTACCAGAGATCGAGGTTGTGCCCTGGCGAGCAGCTCTCGCTGGACAGGCAAGCGGCTGCCGGGTTCACTGGGATGAAAGAGCACGCGTCGAGCAGCGGCTGGACGTCTGCCAGTGTGGCTCGCTCTCCCGAAGCAACGAACTGCCACCCACGCAGCCAGCGCGCAAGAGGCATCATTTCTGGTGCGGTGCTCTGCCTCAGCTTTGCGCGCCCCTCAAAACGTTTCGTGGCACAGTGCTTGAACATGCTCACTACCATCGCCGCCGGCTCTCGCAGTAGCAACACAACCTGCTCGCCACTCCGAAGAGCCCCCTCCAAATATTCGAGGCTGGCGATCTCGTAATAAAAGCTGGAGTCGCTCGCTAGCACGGGCGAGGGCTGCGTAGCGTCCCAAGCGACGAGGTCGCGCCGAAAAGAGGAGCTGCCTGTCTTTGGCAGCCGCACGTATGCGTACGAGAGGTTAGTGACTCGGGGCCCCTCACCAGCGGTGTCGCCATGCGCGTGCGCCGTCGAGGGGCGGGCATTGCTGTGCTGCTTCCTTCGGAAGGCCCGGTAAGCGCGCGAGGCGTTGACGTTTAGGAGCGCAGGGAGAGAGGACTTCGTCGACACAGCGTGCATGTGTGCACATTGCTCGCCCGTTTTATATCGTTCAACGTAGAAACTTGTTTCTTTAGTGTAACCCACTCCTAACATTAATTCTTCGCGTATACAGACAGGCCCAGCTGGAGGTGGCAGGGCATCCCACTCACGAATGTCCCTAATTAATCCAGAGCTTGCAAATCAGTGGTCAGTCCACGACTTTCGATGTCCTCCTCCTCGGCCGTCGCGCTGATCCCCAAGCCGAGGGGCGGCGTCCCAAGGGGCCACGAGTGGGACGGTGTGCGCGGCGCGTACGTCCACAAAGAGACGGGAGCTGTGCACGTCAAAGGCACGCGCTCTGCTGCTTCGGCAGCGCAGCAAAAGGAGCGCAAGGATGAACGCGACCGCAGCGACAGGCCGCAGGCGAGCGGCTCGCAGAAGCGCAACCAGGCTCAGGCCGAGGCCAGGAAAGCGGATGCCAACCGCCGCCGCCAGGTGGTCAGCCAGCACCGCAAGGCAGTACGCGAGAAGGCGCGCCCGCGGCTTGGCGAGAGCTTCGCCTCGATCCGCCAGCGTGAGGAGCAGCGGCTGCTCGGCAAGCGCTTTCTCTTCGAGCCCCAGCGCGTGCGCGTGTGCGAGGGAGCGCTCGCTGGGCAGTGCGGCACCGTGCTGGATCGCGCCCAGCTGTGCTTCCAGGAGACTGCGCGCCGCGTCACGAGCCTGGAGCTCGACGCCTCGGGCCGTGTCGCGATCACCGAGCCGCGGCACCACCACCAGATATTGCTCGACGGGAGCGAGGATGAGGAGCCGGTGCTGCTCTCGCCGTACGCCGTAGAGCCGTGGCCAGGCGTCGGGCAGCTCGTGGACATGCACCACGGCTCAAACTTGGAGAACGAGCCGGATCGAGCCATGAACCACTTGGGCACCGTCGTCGCCTTTCATCCGTGGCAGCATTGGGGCCTCGAGGGCGAGAGCTTCTACCTCGTCAAGCGGCAGACCTTCGCGCTGCCGGAGCATGTCGAGGCGATGGCGGGCGGCGACGTGTGCATCGGCTCGTGGGTGCGGCTGCTGCCCCCGCATCCAGATGCGCATCACACGCTGCAAGATCGCCCCCCGGGTTCCTCCATGGTGCGGGGCAAGCACGAGCCCGGGGAGTTTGCAGCGCGGCGCATGCTGGATCGCCTTCAGCTGCAGGAGCCTGCAGAGCTGACGACGACGCACGCGCACAAGCTTCTGGAGGTCTTGCCCAATACGCTGGCCGAGGAGGCCTACTTACCGCTGCTCGACGTGCACGTGGTGCGGGACCGATGCGCGGCGTGCAGGGACTGCTTGGTGCTCGAGACCACGTTCTTGCTTGCCTACGACACCGACTTTGAGCCGCTCGATAGCAACGACATGCAAAATCCATGCCGCTCCCACTGCCCGTCAGACCATGCTTTCATGTGCGAGTGCGCGCGCCAGTGCTGCTCACATTGGGAGTGCAAGTACAGATGCCGCGACTGTATGGGTAGTGACAGCGACTGTGACAGCGAGTCGGGCGAGGAGAGTGCGTAGGAGAGAACTACTGCTCTGTGTGTGTCTTTACAAATTACTACGTCGTTCAACGTAGAAACTTGTTTCTGTAGTGTAACCCACTCCTAACATTAATTCTTCGCGTGTACAGGCTGACCCAGGCTGCTCTGCCCACCCACCCACCCACCCACCATTACGTTGAACCCATGCAGAGCTTTTATTTATCGTACAATGGAGAAGTTTACTTGAGCACTTGAGCACTGGATAGGGCCGATTCCGCGTGGTACGGGACCCCTCGATCGTCTCGCCCTCCCTCACTGGTGTGTTCATTGGGGGGGGTCATAACAAACACGGTACAGGATCGAGGTGCACGCTGCCGAAGCAGTGTCGTCCCCCCTCTCCCCAACGGCGATGGCGGTGTGACCGATCGAGCTACAAGAGGAGCTTGTTCAGCAGGATCAGGACCGTCGGATGCACTACCTCACTGGGCCTGAGAACATCGCGCGACCAGCCCCTCACCACTCCGGGTTTGCGTGGAGTCGAACCACTCCGGTATGGGCGAGCCCATTGATTTGAATCGAGTCCTTTCTCGCCTGCGGGAGGCAGTGGGGGGTATGTACTCTGCTCCTAGCGGGTTGGGGGAGGGCGCGGAGAGCGGGGCGGGGGGAGGGGGTCAGGCAGGGTCTTATCCAAACGAGAGGTCAGGCATAGCAACTTGTAGACGTACTACACACACCCAAAGACCGAGTTCTCCTCCGAGCCATCTTGTTAATTGTCAAAATTCCTGTTGTGCAAGAGGGGAGGGGGCTCTGACGGAGTGCGTGGCGGGAGAGGGCAGGGAGTGGGCGCGGGGGAGGGGGGGGGGGGGGCTCAGCCGTGCAAAAAGCATCAATTAATAATAGTAAGGAAGACATGTTGCCCGGCCGTTCAAGAAGTCCGTCTCGATTTTCGTTTTTTCCCCACAGACCACTCGGGCAACTTTTACGAAAGGCAAAGTTTTACTTGACCACTCGGGCAGATTCGATTGCATTTTACCACTCGGGCAAACTCGATGAAACGGGCGGACGGAAACGCGTTTGCGACGGCTCGCCGGAGAGCATGCATGGAGCGGCCGGTGCGCCGCCGCAGCTCACCGATGGAGCCTGCGTCGCGGCTCAATCCACTGACGTAGCAGCACTGCGACACACTCTCCAAGCACGGCCTCTGGCGTTGCGATTGCACAGAGAGCGAGCAATAGGCGCCAAAAGCACAGATCTGTGTGCAGTGGATTTCCATGTAGGTCGCGCCCAGCGAGCGGACAACCGCGGGTCTCGGATGCTCTCCCGGACGCGAGCCCATCGTGCGAGTGGCGGACCCGGAGGCGGCCGGCCCAGCTCACCCCCAGAGAGGCCTTACTTCGTAAGGTACCCACTCCCAACATTATTCCGCGACCCCCAACCTAGCTGCCCGGGCCTCCCACCTCACAAAGATTTGGCAAGAGCCACAAAGATTTGGCCGTCCACAAATGAGTGGCCAGGCCTCGTCCTCGACCGCAGCCGCGCCCGGCGCTCCACATCCACGGCCGCAAGGCAGGGCGCCGAAGGAGCACACGTGGGATGGAAGCTACGGGGAGAGCGGTGCCTGGCTGCACAACGTCACCGGGCTGCCCTGGGCCAAGGGCGGGCGATCAGCAGCCTCGATGGCTCAGCAGCGCGAGCGCAAGCGCGAGGACAAGCGCGACAGGAGCGGCAGGCCGGAGGCGTCCGGCGCGCAGAAGCGCAAGAAGGGCGCGGTGGAGGCGGAGCGGCGCGACAGGAACCGGCGGCTGAACGTCATCAACCAGTACCGCACAGCGGCTCGCAAGAAGAAGAAGATCCCACTCGACTCGAGCCAGGTGGCGCGCACTAGGGAGGAGAAGCGGCTTCTGGGCGACAATTTCGTGCACGAGGGCCAACGCGTGCGCGTGATCGAGGGGCTGCACGCTGGCTGCTGCGGCGTCGTGCTCGAGCGAGCCGTGCTGTGGGAGTGCGGCAGGGCGGTCACGGCCGTCGTTGAGCCGGAGCATCACCATGATGTGCTGCTGGACGAGGATGAAGATGAGGCCGGGCCGCGCCGCATTTCGCCTTACCAGGTGGAGCCGTGGCCTCGCGTCGGGCAGCAGGTCGGGCTTGATCTCAGCTTGATCTCAGCTTGATCTCAGCTTGATCTCGGCTGGACCCTGGCTGGATCTCGGATCTCGGCTGGATCTCTGCAGGTTTGCTGGCTGCCCGGCGAGCCCAACGCGATCGCCACGGTGACGTCTTTCCACGGCGGCGACGACAACGGCAGCGGCTACATCCTCTCTCGCCGCCTCTACGCCTCGCCGGCGACCGTCGAGGCGATGGCGGGTGGCGAGGTGCGTGGGACACGAGCAGCTTGAGTCATGAGCAGCTTGAGTCATAAGTCACGAGCTAAGAGTCACATAGCCGTGCAGGTGCGCGTCGGCTCGTGGGTGCGGCTGCTGCCGCCGCATCCAGAGTCATCGCCCGAGCTAGACGTCTCGACAGCCAGGCTGCCCGACGAGCCGTCGATCAAAGACGCGCAACGGATGCTTCACGAGCTCAACCTGCATGACGTCGCTGAGTTCAGCTCGGAGCAGCTGCACGAGCTCGTGACGTTCCCCTACTATCACCGAGTGCCCGGCTGGCACGCGCCGGCCATGTCTGCACAGCCCACACCGAGCACGCATCCGCATAGCTGGGTCTCAGCAAGCGCCGAGTTCCTGCCGTTGCGAGATGTGTATGTCGTGCGCGGTGCATGCACGGCGTGCGGAGATTGCCTCGAGCTGGAGTGCGTGACCATGGCATCTCATGATACTCTAGAGCCGCTCGGTAGCGAAAGCGAGCGAGATCCGTGCTGCGCACATTGCAACCACGACCACATGTTCAAATGCGCGCACATGGGTCACGCCGGCGAGTGTGTGTATTCGTGCCCAGAGTGCGAAGTGTCCGGTTCGAGCGATGGCGAGTCGGGTGCCAGCGATGACGACAGCGGTGAGTAGGTGAGTCTACCCTAAAAGTACAGTGGGTTGCGGGCATTAAGAAAACGTCGCATTAAGAAACCCTACCAAGAGATTTCCGCAAAAATCTAAGAAACCACGGCGCGCCGCAGGCGCGGCCCCGAGAAAAGGCCAGACACGAGTCTCGAGTGTGAACGGGAGCCCCAGCTCAAAATTTCTCTTCGCCTGCGGCGCGCGCACTTGTCACTTTCCAAGTCTACGGTGTTCTGAGTGGAGTGGAGATGGAGGCGTGTGTGCGTCTTCCCGTCATCCAGAGAGCCGACTCGGCGGCAGACTCTGGCATCGCCCTCGCGGACCGCAGCTTACCTCTTACCTAAAATCCTTAGGAGGCCGGCCGGAGCTAAGAAACCACGGCGTGGGGTGGATGAGGGCTGTGGAAAGGCTTAGAAACGGCGGCGTGCCGCCGAATCCTGTTTTCTTAATGCCCGCAACCCACTGTACTCCATTGTACCCATGCATGAGCCTTTATACTTGAGCACTTGAGCACTGGATAGGGTCGATTCCGCATGGTACGGGACCCCTCGATCGGTCTCAACATTTATACCAAAAGGAGGGCTAACGTTCGCTTCTCAGCTCCCTGGCCCTGGATGTGAGGTTAATGACTGCACTCCAAGTGCTCCAAGTGCCTTTCTTGTGTGTTGTTGTAGGTTGTTAAATTTTAAACATCTCCATCGCTTCGTTCGGTGAATGAAGGGGGAAGGGGGTGAATGAACCGCGCCTCCTCGATCGCCGTGCAAAGCTCGCTTCCGAGCTCTCACGCCGCGCGTAGGGCCCTTAGGGGCCTAGAGAACAACAACCCCCTCTCCCTTCTCTCTCTTGAGTCTTGAGCACATGAGCACTGGATAGGGTCGATTCCGCGTGGTACGGGTCCCCTCGATCGTCTCGCTCGCCCTCCCTCACTGGTGTGTCCATTGGGGGGGGTCATAACACACACTCACTCACTGGGCAAATCGGCCGATTTTCAACCCACTAAATCATCACGGCCCCGTAACACCCTCCGCGCGCGGTCAAAGGGTTCCCAGGGCCGGTCCATGACATGAACCGATAGACACAAGCAAAAAAAAACGCACCTCTAAGCTTCTCGGGCACCCCGAGGCCCATACGGCGCCCCGGCGGGCCCCGGCGGAGAGGTCCGGCGCGGCGCTCCAAATCCGCACTTCGCGAGCTTCTACGGGAGTTCACGCGGCCTTTCCGCCTCGTGAGGCACACCCCACACCCACCACGAGTCCTGGGGCCGCGGGCGGACCTTTGGCCGCGGCGTCCGGAGCTTTGGTCGTCGAACATCGGCCGCCAACTAGGCCGTCGAGCGAACGTGTCCGGAGAGGCTCTCGGACGGGTCCGGCAGCGGTGCCATGGACCCAGAAGCTCGCCCCGGCGGAGCACTCACGGCTCGGCCCCCGCCCCTGGCCACCCAGACGTGCCCTTGGACAGCCGTAGGGGCTCGCATGACCACGTTGGCGCCCGCGACGACGCCCTCCCCGACGACGTCGCATTTGGCGCGCACGTCCGCAGACTAGTACTTGTACTCGGGCGCGGCGGCGCGGATGATCACGTGGTTTGGGACTCTGAGCGATGGCAGAGGCCTTTATTTGCAAACGAGGACGCCCCGCGAGGCCCCGTCGGCCGGGAGTGGTGAGTGGGACCATAAACAAGCACTATATCCCCTACCGGGACCAGCCCACACACAGCCCAAACCGCTGCCAGACCGGCCCTGGTCACGCCGGCCGGGAGGCTGCCGGGGCGCCCAAACAGTCCCTCACGAACGCCACACGGGACACCACGGCCCGTCCGGCGGCCCGAGTGCCGCCCCACACCCGCCCGACGCCCTCGGCCAGCCAGCGCCCACTCTGAGAGGCTTCACCGCCGCCAGCGCGCCGAGCGCGCCGCCCTCTCCTCGCGCCACACGGGCCCTTGGCCGCACGCCCGAGAGGCGGCCCATAATTTGAGTCGAGACGCGCCGCCGGCCAGCCAGCAGCTCGCCCGCCACCCGCAGAGTGCCGCCGCCGCCCCCAGCCCGCACTGGAGAGGCTCTCCCGGCCGCTAGCCGCTGTCGCGTCGCCCGGCGGCTGCGCTGGCGACTGTGGGCTGAGCCCTGGCTGTCAGGCTGTCAGGTGCTGTCAGGTGATCTGTCGGGCTGTCGGGCACTGTCAGGCACTGTCAGGTGCCTCTGTCAGACCAGCTGTCAGGTGCTGTCAGTGCTGTCAGGTGCTGTCGGGTGCGTGTCTGACAGGCGAGGTGATCTGTAGCTGTCGGGTGCTGTCGGAGCTGTCGGGTGTTGCTGTCAGACGCTGTCGGAGCTGTCAGAGCTGTCAGGCTGCTGCTGCTGTCAGACGTTGGGCTGTTGCTGTCAGGTGCTGTCAGTTGGTGCTGTCGGGGTGCTGCCAGGCTCTGACACACATCAGCCACACTTATGACACTATCAAGAGGGCGCTGACTATCAAGGGGGTGCTGACGCCGATGACGCCGGCGGCTACGCAGCTACCCCCCCCTCCTACACTGCGTGATCACGCCGGCGGCGGCGGCCGCCTGGGGAGCGCAGATGGCGGCGCAGAGGCACAGGCGGCGGCGGCGGCACAGACGGCGGCGGCCACCCCCACCCAGACGCCGTAGGCATATGACTGTAGGGCCCCAGAAGGCTAGCTGGTAGCTTCATTTGTAGTAGCACAGCCGCCGGTGCTGGAGAGGGGTCCGCAGAGGTGGGGCGGGAGGGTTGAAAGAGAGACCCATGACCATCCCATGACTACATGGACCACACTCACATGTCTTTGCATGTAATTTTGTTATACCCTCATGGGGCGCAAGAAAGAGGCTCTACGGGGTCTGTGTACGGTCTGTGCTGCTGTCAGGCTGTCAGCGCTGCTGTCAGGCCACTGTGTGCTGTCGGGCTGTCAGGCAACTGTCAGGCTGTCACGTTAGGGCCTGACAGCGACGGGTCACCTCGCCTGTCAGGCTCTGCTGTCAGGCTGTCAGATATGTGCTGTCAGACTGTCAGAGAAAGTGCTGTCAGCGCTGTCAGGCTGTCGGGCACTGTCAGGCGCTGTCCGGGGTTTGCTGTCAGTCTGTCAGACCAGGGCTCAGACTGTGGGGCCCGGCCTCCCCTCCTAGCCTTCTTTGGCCGCGGTCCCGTCGCCGTTTCGTTCTCTCTGCCCGATCCCGCTGACTCCGCCTCCGGCGACCCCGCTCCCGACCCCCTGGGCGAGGACGGTGGCATTGGGTCACACCCACTTCCATCCCCGGGAGGACGGGGGCCCGCTCTCCCTGGTTGTGCGAGCGCTGAGTAGGTAAGGAGAGTTGGAGTATTTCACAGTATTTCCAGTATCCCAGTATCTGAGGTGCTGTGGCGAAGTATTCCAGTATTTCAGACACGCAAAGCAAGTATTTTTATTGCAATACTGCATGCTACCTGCACACGGCCCTTGGCCAAGTATCCCAATATCCCGCAAGCGAGGGCCAAGTATCGGTGGCGCAAATACCTCTCTGCCGCGAGGGTGATACTGCAATACTGGGCCTGGGGCATGCAGATATTGTGTTACTGAAGTAGTGTGGCCGTGGCAGTATCGCGCAGTATTTTCACCGAAATACTCGGAGCCGGCGCATCGGATACTGGGATACTGCAGGATACTGCGGGATACTGCTGGATACTGCTGGATACTGGCAATGTGTCAAAGTGTGCCCGTGCGTAAGCCATGGTCCAGCAGCCAGCTGCATCCCCATCCTTCTCACTGGTAATTGTCACCATGCAGCTGCACCCCTCCCTAGAGCATCCCTGGCTGATGTGGTCACCGGATCCTCGGAGACTGGGATACTACGGACCGGCTTGGGCTACAAATGTCGCAAGTGAGCAGTGGTGATGGCAGGCGTTGTGTGATTGTTCCAGAATGCATCGGCAGGAGTTGTGATGTGTGGAAGCTCACGAGTTCTCCGACTGCCGCTCGGTATAGTCGGTAAAGAGCTCGTATCCGCTGCCATTTCTGCCGCCGAGCTGAACAGCGGCGGTGAAGCACGGCCGGCTGTGTCAGGACCGCGCCCGGCGCTGGAGAGTGCTCGAGAGCATCCGACATCGTCGGCCGCAGCGGCATGGTCGGCCGAGGTGATTCAGTTTATGTGTAGGTCCGTCACCCGTTTGCCGTGATGCTCAGCGGCGGCGCCCACACCGGTGGGTTCACTCGAGACGGTCCGGCGCCAAGCAAAGAGTTGTGTCGGTTACCAGAGCCTGCTGTGTGGCGGTGTGCGGCCGATTGGGGTCGTGCGGGGCTGGTTGGGGTTGGCGGGAGGAGACATCGAAGGAACTTCGGCGACAGAAAACTTTTCGTCCGTTCTATCACTCACTTTCACGCGCCCTCCCTGGGTCACAGCACTTGCGAGAGGGCGCCGCGACGCCCGGCCGCCTGAGATGCAAAAGTTTGCACAGGCCATTCAAGCGCTGCAGACGCTGGTGCTCCTGCGTGCCGGCGCCAAGCTTCAATTGCCAAGGCTGACGCTGCATCACAACGTTGATATCGCATGCAGTGCGCTTGTGGGAGCTGACGTGCCCAGCCAATCCAGCGCCCCTAGCCGAGATAGCTCTGGGACCCTTTTACGGCACAGCTGCTGTGTGATATACTATGATTCCTGTGCGTGCGCCGCAGGACGTGACCACCTTGCTGCGCTCAATGTTCGCGGCCGTGACGCCTCCCCGATGTGAGTCTTCCTCTCCACACAGCACCAGCACCAGTGCACTGCCACGACACTCTCCCTCAGTTCCAGCACTGGCGCCTCAGCCGTCTTCGCCCACCTCGTGCCGTTGCCGCCTTCCCACCCCGCCAGCCCTTGCACACGCGTTTACACCATTGCGCCGGCAGGGCGCGGGCACACACTTTACGGCAGTCTTCGCTTGCCCACGCTGCTCACTTGGCTCAATCCCTCCCCACCTAGCTGCTGCCTCGCATCCCGCTGCTGGACGTACGACTGCGGCCGCAGCGCAGTGCATCGCTCGAGGGCCGACCCCGGATACTGGGATACTGCAGGATACTGCAGGATATTGCGGGATACTGCTGGATACTGGCCGTCTCTGATGCGGATACTGGGATACTCGGCGGGGCTGGAGGACCAAGTAGCGCCCAGTATTGCAGTATTATTACTTGGCATTTAGCTCTGCGATATTGGGATACTTCGCCGGCGTGGATCGATTACTGTGATACTCACCGGGTGCGTCATCACGAGTATCGAAGTATCCGCGGTACCAGCTCGGAGTATTGAAGTATTATTACTGCGCCATATCTCACAGGGACATCTTTCACAGTATCCCAGTATTTGAGGCCTGCTGCGAAGTATCCCAGTATCTGGTCTGGCTCCGCGAAGTAGAAGTAAGAAAATACTCCAAGTCTCCTTAGATCTACCTACTGAAAAGGCCGTCGAGGCGGGAGGCGAGGCTCGCGACGAGGGCGAGAGCTAGTGCGAGAGTCACACACGACACACACGACACGACAGGAACACAGACACAGGCACAGGCACAGACACAGACAGCTACACACACACTGCGCGAGGGTGGGCCACGCACACGGCGTGTATTAGCCTCCTCCGAAGCCGGCAGGGCCGAGAGCGTGAGGGATAGGGCAACTTGCTATACTCACCCGGATATGTTGGCCTGCTAGGCGACGAGGCGGCTGCGGAGCGCAACCAAGAATAGCTCGTGCGTGTGTATATGCGGGCCGCTTCCGCTTCGCGCGCCGCTTCCCGCACCCTGCGCAGCTCTCTGCGTCCCTCCCTGAGAAGGTACTGCACAGAGACGGACGCCATATTGATGGCGGCGCCGCCGCGTATGCGCGTCGTCGACCTGCACCGGCCGGATGCGCTCAACGCGCTCAACTCCGAGATGGTCGCGACGCTGCTGCCGCTGTTTCAGGACTGGCAGCAGGTCGGCGGCGACGTCAAGCTCGTGGTGATGCGCGGCGCTGGCGACCGCGCCTTCTGCGCGGGCGGCGACATTCGCTTCCTGCACGAATGCGCGTCGGGCTACGCGGCCACCGGCGATCCCGCCGCGCTCTCGCCGGCGCACGAGTTCTTCCGCGCAGAGTATACTCTCAACAACGTCCTCGGGACCAGCCGCGTCCCAGTCGTCTCCATCCTTGGCGGCATCGTGATGGGCGGCGGCGTCGGACTGTCCGTGCACGGGCAAGTGCGCATCGCGACCGATTCGACCAGTTGCGCCGCGGCCGCGCGCAAGAACTGCGGAAACAAATCCCGACGCGCCTCCACCCACGTCTCCACCGCCCTCCCGCCCGCCCGCCCGGCGGTGCCCCTACACCCCCTCCACGCCCGTCAGTCTTCGCAATGCCCGAGACCGGCATCGGCTTCTTCCCCGACGTCGGCGGCAGCTACTTCCTGCCGCGGCTTCCCGCCCACCTGGGCTTCTTCCTAGGGCTCACAGGCACGGGGCTGGTGGTGGCTGGAAGCTCCTCCCGCTCCCCCGGCGACCCGGCCACCTCCAGCCGACAGGCACGCGGCTGCGCGGGCGCGACGTCCTGACGGCGGGCGTCGCCACCCACTTCGTGCCGTTGGCGCGCATCGAGGCGCTCGAGGCCCTCCTGCTCGAGATGGCGGCGAGCACCTCTGGCAAGGCGCGCGCGGTCGGCTGAGATGGGCCGAGAGTGGCGGGCCCTGCCCACGGCCGGGTCCGGAGCTCCGCGACCGTCCGTCTCGAGTCTCGCGCGCGGCAGTCAGGCGTACACGCTCGAGAGCAATCAGGACTTTGTCGACCCGGAGGTGCTTGCGCGCGCCATCGGCGCCCCAAGCACGAGGCCGAGCTGCGCGGAGCAGGACGTGTCCAGGCGACGTCCAGGACGCGCGCCGTAGGCGCCCTCGATGAGGTCGACCGCGGCAAGGCGGACGGGGCCCCCGCCGCCGCGCCGCCGCTGCTGACGCTCGAGTCCATGGGCGAGATCGATGCCGCGTTTGGGCTCCCCGACGTGGGACTGATTGTGGAGGCAAAGTGGGCCGCGGGTGCGTCCGTCCAGCCGGCAAGCGGCGGTCTCACCCGCGGCGCGTCTCATCCCAAAGGCGGTGGGCGCCGGTGCGGCGGCAGCGCGCGAGCGGGGCGACGACACGCATTGGTCGATCCGCGCGGTGCGTGTCGCTTGCGACGCCACTGCCTCCCTCCGCACACGCCGCCACCACTGGCCTCGCGTGCACTGCCTCGTCTGCGTCCATGCGCCCACTGCAGGCGTCGCCTCCGCTCGCGTGTTGAGCCGTGTGCGATTTTGCCGCGCAGGCGGCCGAGCTCGGTAAAGTCTCGCCCACGTCACTCGCGGCAGCGCATGCGATCTTTCCCGCTCGCGACGGGACGTTGTTCGATGCCCTCTCGATGCCGTCTAGGTGACTCATGAGATGCTGCGGCGCGGCGCGGCGTGCAGCACGCTCGCCGAGTGTTTGCGCATGGAGTACCGGGTTGCGCAGCACTTTCTCAAACACGCCGATTTCGTCAGCGGCGTGGGAGCGGTCCTGAGCAAGGGCGCCGAGCCCGCCGCGTGGGGAAGCCCCCCTTCGGGCGACGAGCTAGCGAGCTGGTTTGCCGCCGCCGAGGGGGGCGAGCTGGAGCTCTGAGGAACAGCTCTCGCTCGCTGTCTCGCCGAGCGAGGCTCTCGCGTCGACATCCCCCCCCCCCCCCCCTCCCCCTGCCCCGGCCCCGCGCCAACGTGAGTCGTGAGGGGACAGCGACAAGCCGCAACGCGCAAGCGTCCTTCCCCGGCGCGCGCCACTCGTGGCGCTACTGGCTGGCTCGGTCGTCAAGAGTGGTCAGTGGACTCGCGCGCCGCGCCCCGCTCCACCCCAAAAGGTTGCAAGAATAAAAACGGACGTCCACGCTCCACCGATGGATATGGCCTCTGCTCTGTCGCGCGCCCCCGCCTATGCTCCGGGAGGCGGGAGCATAGTAGGCGCGCGTTTAAAAAGTAACCACACATGCCCCGCGCGTGCCCCCCCATGAACCCGTGTGTGGGGTTCGTCTCCTTTTTCCAGTCATCGCAAGCTCAACTTTTTTCTTTCCCTCAAGCCTCGGCCCTCGCACACACCCGTGTGTGACTCCCTCTCTCGTACCAATCCCGTACTCGACGCGGCGCGCCGCCGCCAACGTACCCTCCCCAGCACATGCTCAAGCAAACGCAGTAGGCCATAGCCGCCGTAGCGCGTATTCGCGGATATTCGCGCGCTCGGCGTGTGTTACTCGCCACATCGGGCCCCGACCCTCGTGATGCGCACGGGAGTCGATGCCCCCCCCTCCCCCTTCCCGGGCTTGTGGGGGCCCCGGGCGCCCGACCTTTTTGAGGACCCGATCAAATGGTTTGGGCCCTGGTTTTCCCCCCCCCCCCCCCCCCGCGCGCGCCTGAACGCGGCGCTCAGTCGGACGCCGAGGCCTCAAGAGCCGCCACGAGCGCCGGAGAGACGGACGCCTTGTGCTTCGGCGCGTGGAAGCGGGAGAAAGTGAACTCGGTCGCGTGCGGGCTCGCCACCTCGTACATGGCCGCCTCGCCCTCGATCGCGCCCTCCGCCATCGCCGTCGTCCTAAAGTGGCCCTCCTCGGGGTACTCGTCAACCTTGCCGAAGCGAGGCGCGGTCGACGAGAAAGACTGGCCGATGATGCCATGAGGCAAGCCTCGCGCCGCGGCGTCGCCCTTGGCACTGAATGTGAGGTCGAGGCGGTGCGCCGGGCCCGACAGCCGGTTGAAGACGTGGTTCCCGTGCACACCAAGCGTCCAGTTGCCCAGACTGACCGTGGCACTCGCCAAGTCGACCACGATGCTGAGCGCGCCGCACTGCCGGCGGCTCTTTGGGCCCAAGCGGAAAACGCGCCCGCCGCACGTGCCGTTGACCACCTGCCAGCCCCAATTCTCGCGGTTGAGCTCGGCCGCCCAGTACGAGGCGGTCGCACGCCCGCCCTCGGCCGCGCCGACGGCCGCAACGACGTGCGCCTCGGTGATGAAGGAGCCGTCCACCTACCCGCCGACACGCCCGCGGGTGAGGTGGGAGGCCGCCGGGGAGGTCAGCGGGGGCGGGGAGCGTCGAGCCGTCAGCTTCCCGTTGTGAAGCGTGAAGGCTGCGTCCTCTGTCCTCACGATGACGGAGAAGCCCGGCGCCGAGAAGAAGTTGTAGTAGGCGCCGTCGCGCCCGCGGAAGTCTGCGCGCCTATCGGGTGGGTCGCGGGACGTGTCATCGCACACGACGCGCACGGGCGGCCACCGGGCAGGCCGTGACGCGTTGCCCGCCGTGGGCAAAGTGAAGGTGCGGGTCCTTGTCGGAGCCGGCCGGCGACGACGGGGGCGGCGGCGTCGGCGCCCTGCCGGGCGGGTAGGGCGGCGGCGAGGGCGGCGGCGTCGGCGCCTTGCCGGGCGGGTAGGGCGGCGGTAGTGGGAACTGGGAGTTGCACGGAAATTTGAACGTTGCGCTAGGGTTGCTGGAAATTTCAGGCCCGCTCGACAACATATAGGTTACCCGCGCAGCCTCCGTGGAAAACTCGAGATCCGCCGGAAAGTCGTTGACTGGGAGGTAGAAAGTAAAGGGGACTTTCAGCCCGCCGAGCAGGCAGTCCCTGTCGCTGTTCCCATCTATTGGGTCTGACGCATATGCGTCTCCTTCCTTGCATTCAGGTATCTCGGCTTCGTCGAGCACGGCCGTCCGGTTTACTAGGTACGGATACGCCATCGCGCTGTCGAAGCATTTTCCAGGGAAGCGTGCACCACCATCCGGCACATCTAGCTTGTAAGCAATATCCGCATTGGACCTGGTAGCAAGGAAGAATCCGTCATTAAACCCGTTGCCAGTTACTTTGCTCTGTTGTGACTCCATTTGCAAGGTATTGGGGAGGAAGGCCTCATGATTGTCCTCCAGGTCGGGGATGGAACATATTTCCTCCTGGTTGAACGAGGATTGCCCAAACGCTCTCGTGTTGCTCGGGAATTTGTCGAAGTTCTCGTACGGCTGCCCCACGCCCTCCGCGCGGAGGCGTTCCCCGCCGACAGGTGTGCGAAGTGCACCTTCGATTCGAATGACGTCCATCTGCGGCACGACGGTCTCGTTGACGCACGCAGCCTCGCACTGCCGTTTCAAACCATTCCTCTTTCCGCACTTGTAGGGCGTCCTCGAGTACCTCGCGCCGCCCCGGTAGTAAAAGGTTGGCCCGTCGGCGTAGTCAGATGGTTGTTGATAGTTGTCGTAGCCGTGGATCGGAAGAAAGCCGCAGCCGGCCATCTGCCCCTCCACATCGGGGTAAGGGCCATCGGGCCATTTACCTCTCGGTGCTTTTGCCGCTGTGAAATATGGATTTTGGCGGCCGTACACCGCTTGGTCCGGGGGTCCGTACTGCGGATTTGTTGGTCTGTAGGCAATGTCTGATTCCGTCGCCGAGCTCGAGCTATTGTTGGGCTGCACACCAAAGGTCATCGGCGATCCGTCCGCAAGCGTGCCTTTGAGTTGGAAGCGGATGCCGAGTATGTTTTTTAGTAGGTTGTTTGGGTCCTGAAGCGTGACCTTCAGCATCTTGATGATGCGGTCCTCTGCGTCTTCGTCTCGGAGGTGGCAATGGCCGCCTCGGGCGTACCGCGTATCGCTGCACGGTTTGTCGGAGCTGGCGTCGTACGCGTCAGAATACGTCGTATACTCGTAGGGGCCCCAATAATACGGATAGTCCTCTGCGCCTCCACTATTCTCCTCGGTGTTCTTCATACCCGGCCCCCCGAAGAGCTGTATATCATGGCCGTTTTCATTGGTGAAAAATTCCGAGCCAGCGTCGTTCTTAAGCGCGTTTTCTTTCTTGAGCCGAGTTTTGCACGAGTAGAGGTCGTCGGTGTCCAGGTTTGGGCACTCGACCAGGTCCATGTCTGGCGTTGGTGTTTTTGGCGTCTGATCGTATAGTTCGCAGTTGCTGAGCGTGCAGTTGGTCCAACCCCCCCGATATCCGTCAAACTCAAAGAAGTCGACGCAAAATTCATAACCTGAGGGAGATGAATCTTGGAGCTTCCGCCTGCGACTTGAGGTTGGACCAGCAAACTGCCAGTCGGCCGCCGCCTTAACTACTGCCGCGGTGACGAGCAGCGCAAGGAGCCAGCCCATCTCGCTCCTCGACGTTCCCGCGCAGCCGTGTGCCGGCACCGTGTAAAAACACAGAGCCGCGCGGCCAAAACCCATAAGTCGGCGCATCCGGACGACCGACGGGGGCGCCGGCCCAATTCTCCTGTTATTTTTTTGTCGCTTTCGGTTTTTACCCTCACGAGCCCCGGAGGGGAGCTTCATAGACACCTCACTTGACCCCACACATGCTCTCGTTCGTCCGTGCCTCACCAGCGAGTTAGTTTGCTAGATAGAGGCGGAAAAGAGCGCTGTAGAATAGGCTGCGGTACCAGTCGGAGGTGAAGCGGAGGCGAGACCTCGGCCAAAGAAGAGACATCAGAAACGGCTACAGCGACCGTCAGGCGACGCTCGGCTGGCGAATAAAAGAGCGAATCAGGGAGAACCGGAGCCCCGGGAAGTCGAGCAGTGGAACCCTGGGACGGGATGCTGAGTGAGGACCTGTGTACGTGCGTGGTGTACAGCGTCGTGTCTACTAGCTCCGTGTAGAGGGGGCGTTCTGAAGTTAAGGGGAAACCCGGTACACGGAACCAACCCTCGGAGACCAGTGTTTACTTTACGGCCCTTTCCCTGCGAACGCGCACCCCCGGGGCTAGGGCTCTCTAGCCCGTAACCCGATCCCGATCATCCGGCCCGCTGGGTGCGCTTCTGAGCTCCCCGGCCCTGGATGTGAGGTTAATAACTGCACTCCAAGTGCTCCAAGTGCTCCAAGAATAGAGCTGTAGAGCTGTGCACCACACGGAACGCATCTCCATCGCTTCGGTGAAGGGGGTGAACCGCGCGCCATCCTCGATCGCCGTGCAAAGCTCGCTAGTCCGAGCTCTCACTCATGCCGCGCGTAGGGCACTTAGGCTTAGGCCTCATGCCAAGAATGACTGACACATGTCCCTAAATCCCATCTCGTCTCAGAGTTTGACCGTTTTCTTTCTCTATTTATCTCGGTTTGTCAGAGATAGTCAGGGCCGTCCATCAGAGCTCCAGACTCCAGAGTCCAGTAAGCTCGGAGACACCCCATTTAGTGCGCGGCTCGACCTCTTTGAGTCATTTGCCTTCCCGGCGGTTTTGTTGTAGAGCCTCTACAACAAACTTACGGCAAAATCGCTCTACATCTGCGGCCGGTCCATTCACGCGCCGGATGTAGAGCTCTACAGCTCTACCCGGGCTCCGGAGCGCTCTACAGCTCTGTACAGCTCCGCTCTACAGCGCTCTACACTCTACATCCTCTACACAGTCTACACCCCCCCCCCCCCTCCCCTCCCTCAGTCGCAAGGTGCGGGGCAGCCCCTGCTCTAGTCTCACTCACACGTCGCGCGTGCCTCTGTCGCCTTGTGGTGTCTGACTGTGTGTGTGTTGTTGTGCTCGTGTGCTGTTGTTTGTGCCCTCTCTTGGCACCTTCGGTGCGGGGGGGGGGGGGGGCGACAGGGGGGATTTCCCTTACAATCGCTGTGAACCCAACCACGCGTAGATCTCTCGAGGGAGAGATGCGCCCCGGGGGTCGCCCCCCCTTGTGTGCGCCCTCTTGGGTCTTGCGTCTTGGCTCTCCATTGCGCGCCAGACCACAGCGCGGCCACCCGAGCCCACGACAAAATTGGGGGAAATTTTGGTGAGGCGTCTCTCTGTCTCACGGGTGTTTCGTCCCTGCCTCACTTGCATGATTTTTCCGTCTCTCTGCGTCTCTCCAAGCGTCTCTCTGCTGTCACAGTGCTGAGTTTAGTGTCGCAGGTGCGTCTCTCAGATGCGTCTCACATTCCGTCTCTTTCGGCGCGCCGCGTATCACTCAGTCTCACGGCTGGGCTGAGACGTCACAGTCCTGAGCGAAGTGAGTCGTCTCACTTCCTTCTGAGACAGTGCTGAGCCACAATGAGACGCGGCGCAGGGCGGGGGGGTTTTGAGACGCCACAAGCCGCTGCTTGATTGAGTCGTACTCAGGTCCGTTAGAGACCGTGCTGAGCCCCTGACGCCCTGAGACGCAATTGTGGCGATTGAGGAGACTCAACTCAGGCTGTGTCTGAGGTGCGGCCTGGTGGGTCTCGGTGAGTGTAGACGAACCCTAAGCATAATCGCGCTCTATGGCTCAAACGGCGCGTAGCCCGCCTGTTGCTCTTATCGTGCTCTCAGACGCAAAAGGCGCGTAGCCGGTTGCTCTCGCGGGCAGGGCGGTTCGGGTTAGTGCCCAGCACTACGCCCTCGCCCTCTGTTCGTCACGGCTACGCCCTCGGCTCGATGAGTACTTTGCACTGACCGCTCTGAGCACTGAGGTGAGGCGTGTCGGACGATCCCAACATAATCGCGCTCATATCGCGCTCTCTGGCCCAAACGGCGCGTAGCCGGTTGCTCTCGCGGGCAGGGCGGGTCGGGTTAGTGCCCACACCACTACGCTCTCGCCCTCTGTTCGTCACGGCTACGCCCTTACCGTGAGACGAGTGTGAGGCGCTCTGAGATGAAATGACGAGACGTAGTAGAGACGACATCGTCACACAGCAGGGGTGAACATTTGTCTCACGGGTGGTCTCAAACCGCACGTCTCTGAAGGTGGACTGTGCCACCCTTGAGACAAAGTGAGACTGTTGCTGTGACCAGGCTGAGACAACACAGAGATCGGTGAGAGTCTGTGAGACATTACTGAGACGCATTTGTGACACTGCCCCGGGGGCGTTGAGAACAGCGGGACGAAACACCCGTGTGAGACAGGGACGTCTCACCTGTTCGCCCCAAAATATTTTGGGTCTTTGCCGCAGTTTGTGTGTGTGGAGACGTTCACACGTCTTACCTTTCCCTACCTGAAAAATGGGGGCGCCTCTGTTCTCCTCTCTCTCTCTCTCTCTCTCTCTCTCTCTCTCTCTCTCTCTCTCTCTCTCTCTCTCCTCGTAAATCGACAAATCCCGAACCGTTCGCTGAGTCAACACTCCATCCGACCGCCTCAGCCCGCCCGTCGCACTCGCCCTCCAAGTCCACCCCAGGTTAGTCCTCGCGCGCGCGGAGAGTCAGCCCTCAATCTTGATGCCGCGGGATCGGCACGCCTCCTCGAGGGCGTGCTTGCCTACAGCCGAGAATGGTCCATCACGGGTGGAACATTTCGCCATGCCCACCGCGCCGCACGAGCACGCGGCCGCCGTCGGGGGTGGTGTCGTTCTTACCGGTGATGCGGATCGTCTTGAGCATCGGCAAGTGGGGCGGCGTGCGGCGCAGGAGCTCAGCGATGCAGCGGAGTCCGTCGTCGCCGACCTGGTGTGAGTGAGGGAGGATTGCAGAGCACGAAGAGGGCAGGGGGGGGGGGGGGGAGCGAGCCGCCCCGCGCTCGAAAAGCGTGTCCACGCCCAGCCCGACGTCGACAAGCTGTGGCCACCCAGAGGAGGTGATGGCCTGGAGCAGGCACGGCCGTAATGTGGCCAAGGTGCAGCCGAAGTCGAGGTCCGGCCGAGAGGGGGTGGGCGGATGCGCGTGTCCGAACGGCGGGGCGGGGCGGTTTTGCGCCCCGGTTGACGCAAGGTGGCACGTGATCCCGCCGGGGCTTAAGGGGCGTGAGGCGCCTTCCCGATGGCCGAGACGTGGTACTCGAACGTGGGCCAGCCTCGCTCGTGGTAGGGCGTGTGGCTGCCATCGTTTGCAGTCTCGGTGTTCCCGTCGGTGACGAAGAAGCACCTGCCCACAGGAGGCGCCGTGAAGAGGGCGCTCGCCACCGCGCGCTGCCTGTCGAGCCGCGCCCGCGCACGTAGTCAGTTGGTGTGCGTACCACACCTGCATGCGCGTTAGAGCCGCGCGCAGTGCCATCGTCGGCCCCTCCCCGATAGGGGGCTCCTCCTTGGCGCGCGGCGGCTGGAAGAGCGAGCAAAAGTCAAAGAAGACCGCGACGCGCGACGGGAGGGTCTGCCAAGTGTAGGGCCCCTTGGACACCTGGTGGGCGCGCGCGCAGGGGGGAGGTGTGTTGTGTGCGCGTGCGTGCGTGCGTGCGTGCGTGCGTGCGTGCGCGCGCGCGTGCGCGCGTGCGTGCCGTGCGTATGCGTGTGTGGGAGGGGAGGGGAGGGGGGGGGGGCGGATAACGAGAGCGGCGGCGAGGCAGGAGGGGTGTGTGCACGCGGCCACGTCGGCGCCTGGATGGCCTGCGCCGTCGTGATGGCGTCCGCCAGCATCAGTAGCGTCCGGCCTGCAGCGTGGATACCAGAGGGTCGGGTGGTACACCGCTGGCGCCCACGGGACTCCTCGCCGCGTCTGCCGCAAGGCGGCATCTGCCACCCTGCGCCGCAGTTCCCAGGACCACACACCGGCTCGCACCACCGGGCGAGGAGTGGTGGTGGTGTGGCGGTGGTGGTGGGTGGTGATGAGGGGGGGGGGGGGTGCTGGGATGGCCTCTTGCTCGTTCCGAGGCTCGGCGCTAGTGCGGAGCGAGGCGCCTTCTCGATCGATCTTGCGCTTCTCTCTTGCGCCTCTCGCTCGCGCTTCTCTCTCGCGCATCTAGCCGCGGGCCGTGAGGGTCCGGGTGCTCCTCCGACTCCCACGAGTGAGAGACCGCAAGCACTGCCATCGGGAAGCCCGCGTTGCGTGGGCCGCGGGGAAGCGCCTTGACCTCCTCCGCGCTGTAGTAGGCGGAGGGCTCCAGCACTTCCTGCAGCCCGCGCGGGGGGGGGGGGGGGAGGGTGGCACGAGCGGGTCAGGGGCGGCCGGTGCCCTGCGTGAATTGCAAGGGCGACGAAGACAGCGGGCGGCGAGGGGCAGTGCGGCGGAAGAGACGGGCGGAAGACGGGCACGCGTGTCGTCTCGGGTGCTGGCCGGAGAAGACTGAGTGTGCATCTACGGTGTGGATCTACGGCCGACTCGCCAACTCTTGCCGCCGTGGCAGCGTCAGCGCGCGCCGCCGGTCGGCGGGCTGCGCGGTGTCGCAGACGCGCGAGAGGTCACGAGGGTGGGGACCCGGCCGTGGGGAGGGACGGGCATGTGGGGCCGTGCATGTGCGCGCAGAGTGGAGCCGGAGGCGGAGGGTCCGCGCGGGAGCGTGTCGGGAGTGCGCCGCTCACCACCGCACGCAACTGCGCCGCTCGGGCGACAACCCTGCGAGGGGCGAGATGCGCAGACAGATGCGCAGAGAGGCTCGCGATGGCGACGGCAGAGAGGCGGCACGCGTGCACGTGCAGCGTGAACGGCACGAGCACACTCGCCCCCCCCTCGGGCGGCACCTCGGGCGGCACCTCGTGGGGGCTGCACTAGGTGGGGGGCTGCACTCCGTCGGCATCTAGCGCGGCATCTAGCGCGGCGGACCACTCGGAGCGCAGCAGCCGGACGGGAGGCACCAGGCGCAGCCCTGGCTGCGGCTCGAGCTCGCCTGAGAGGGGAGTGAGAGGGGAGGCGTCGACACGCTGCAGCGCGAGGCGCGAGGCAGGCAGGCGCGAGGCAGGCAGGCTGCAGGCTAGAGGCGAGCTCGAGGCAGACAGAGCGGCATGCGACACGAGATGCGGCGGCGCGACGGCGCAGGCGGCGCAGGCGCGGCGAGGAGCGGCGGCCAGACGACCGCCACCCCTCGCGCGCGCGCCCCACCGCCGCTGCGTGTCCCCTCCAGTCCCCTCCAGCGCCTCGAGCAGAGCCTCTCCGGTGCCTCGTGTCGTCTCGAATCCGGCACCGCGGGCGCGGGCGCGGCGCAAGGGGGGGGGGGGGGGGGCGGGACACGCGCCGTAGATCGTGTCCGGGTCCGCGTACATCGTGGGTGTGTCCGGGAGCGGCTCCCATTTGACACAGCAAGCCTCCGAGACCTGCGGCGGGCCCCGGGGCTCGGCTGTCAACACCGCGGCTGGGCACACGGCGCCGAGGCGGCCGCGCATGCGAGGGTCCGGTCTACGGGGAGGGGCCGCGCCAGCAGGAAGACAGCGTCTTCAAAACAGCACGCCGGCCTGCCCGGCCGCCCGGGATGCGCAGCAGGGCGCGTGTGCTACACCGGTGCGACATCTACCCTCAGCCACCCCGCTCAAGATGGCCTCCACCGCCTCCGCGGCAGCCGCCGCCGCCGTCGTCGCCTCCACCCGCCGCGCCTCGACGGCGGCGGCCGCTGCGCGCGCCTCCGCCTCGACCTCCGCCCTCGACCTCGACGCTGCCGCCGCACCCGGTGCCCTCTATGCCGCCTCCGCTGATGCGGCCTCCGCCGTCGCATGACGCGCAACCGTCGCCTTCTGAGAGGTGGCGGCGGTGCGCGCTGCCGGAAGGACCTGCCCGAGGCACCTGGCGGCACCGGCGGATGCGAGGGGTCGAGAGGCAGACGCGGAGGCCTGGTCGGGTAGGCGAGGGCAGGCCGAGCGCAGGAGAGGGCCGGGGGCGGGGAGGCGCAGCGCACGAGCTGCGGCGGTGCGGGGAGGTGCGGGGGCGGGGGGTGGGGGTGCTCGGCCCAGAGAGCGGGCCCCACGGCGCGGGGGCGCGGCACCGAGGAGCGGCGGTGGCGATTTCGGCGCGGAGGAGCGGGCAGAAGGGAAGCAGGGCAGAAAGGGTGGCAAAAAGGGGTGTCTGGCGCGCTCTCGGTAGCTCCTTGGAAGAGGGCGACTAGGCGACTAGGCGACAGGCACGGGGGCGCGGGGGCGGCTGTGGCGGACGGTACTTTAGACAGCCGATGCAGTACGAAGGCGGGCGGGTGACGTAGTGGAGAGGGACGCCGTGCTGGAGGAAGAGCGAGAGGTCGTTGCGAAGCCGCGCCGCCGTGTGAGGGCGCAGGCCAAACCTGCGAGCCACGGGGGCGGGCGAGTCATGGTACGTCATGGCGCGAGTGCGGCTGCCGTCCGAGGAGGAGGGAGCGCGAGGGGCGCGCTCGGGCTATGCGCCCCCCCCCCCCCTCCGAACCCGACCTAGCGCTCTTCACCGTGTCAGAAACGGCCCTTCGACCTCTTGAGCCAGAGAGGCGCCCGTCACGCCGGCGGCACGGAGCGGCGAGGCGATCGCATCGAGCTCGAGCCACGCGAGCAGGTGAGACACCTCGTCCACCGAGAGCGACTGGAGCGCTCTCCGCGTGTGCCCCACCCGGCCGGCGCCAGGCGCCGCCGCCGTGGCGCGGGCGAGCCGTTCGCGGGAAAGCTGGAGAAGCTCGAGCGCGGCCGCCGCCTCCTTTTCCGCCTGACTCACGAGCACATCGGATGCCGCATCGGAGGCGTCCAGGGCGCCGGCGGAAGTGGCCGGCATCGGCGATTGATGTTAAAAAATTTCCTTCGCCGGCGGCGCTCTGCGTCGCGGACTCGCGGCATCCACCTTTAGAAGGCCAGCTCGGCACGTTGGGCAGAGCAAATCATTGTCAGTGTCACAACAAACATCTCTCTCTCTCTCTCGATGTATGTAGTATAAAATGAACTCGGGGGCACGGGACGCGGCACAAACGGGGCACAAACGCCAGGCTACAAAGACGGGGAGGCACGTAGTATGTATCATCATCAGATGTAGGGCGTGAGAGAGTGTTTGTTAGGGCGTGTGCAACGGCCTGTGCTGCAAAAAACAAATAATTTTAGGTGGGGTGTTCAAAGTATATAATAGGATAGGATTATAAAAATCGGGCGGTTGCCAGCGAGTACACTCGGCCGCTTGGTTTTGCTATGCCGGGCAAGAAGGGATGGTAGTTGTGGCACCATTTCAGAGGCGGGTTGGTAGTTGGAGCTGACCAAAGTCGGCGGCGAGCGTCGACAAGTTTTGAGGTTGGCGAGACGGAAGCGGCGGGGACCGTCGCTGCTGTGGCAACCCGAGCGCAAGGGGGGATATGCCACAGGAAACAGGAAAGGGCTGTTGTGGGTTGGTGCCCGCACCCACTGTGGCTGCCTTTGACGGCCGGCAGCGGCCCGTCAGCGTGGTGATTCCCTCGTACGCGCGGATGGAGTACCTGGTTTGGAGCCTCAGCCTGCTGCTAAAGCTCGAGCCACTTGAGCGCAAGGGCTCTGAGATCCTTGTTGCCCACGGCAGCAACGCCAGCCTTGCATACGTCAGCGGGGCCGCCTGCAAAGCACAGCCCGCCTGCCACTCGCCAAAGGTTTGGCACGTCGACGTGATCGATTTGGACGCGAGTGGGATCGGTGTAGCGAGTCGGTACTTTGCGGCGGCCAAGGCGCGGAACGACATCCTTGTGCACCTCGATGACGATCTAGTACCCAGCCAGACGATGCTGCAGGATTTGGTTGACAAGGTTGCGAGCGAGGCTGGCTTTCCTAGCTACCCACACGCGCACGCACCCGGGCTTTACGGGGCGAGCTCGCAGTTTCGATGCTGCGGGGTTAGCGGGCTGTTGAATTGCAGGTATCCGCGCGACTCGCCCACGCTCGTCCTTACTAGCCTCGCCGCTTGCTCCAAAGCCCTCAACACGCGGTACCTTGACTTTTTTGACGCGTACCGACCCCTCCTCCTTCTGAATCGAGGCAACGGAGAGGATATTACTTACTCGCACTTCGCCTGGCTGCAAGGGCGTGGGGCCGCGTCAGACAATGTACGTCACGTGGGCAACTGCTCTTCTGATGCTCCCTCGACCGCAAATGGTAGCCGCGAGGCGAAACCGTGGCAGCAAGGTCTACGCTCGCGCTACAGGTGGGGCAGAACGATCACCAACAAGTGTGGTCCTACAGCAGCAAAGTCCACGGAGCGTACGTGCTCGAAAGGAAAAGGAGAGTTTGTGCCTTTAAAGCCGATGAAAATGGGGGTGCCCACGTTCTCGGATAAGAGAGACGTCGTCACCCACACGAAGTTCAAGGCCAGCCGTGACGCCATGTGTGTCGCCCTCTTCAGCATCCAAGGCTCGAGCCACTACCCGTTTGCGCAGTTGCAGGAATCGCTGCTGCAGGCAACTACTCGTTCGCCGCCGATGGCACGCGTGCTGCCTCTCCAGAGCATCGGTGCTACTGTTGTCGAGGCGGTCAGCGCCGTGGAGCGAGAACTGCTGGCGGCATATACCGCGAATCCGAAACAATCGGCCTGCGCGTGCATGCGTGCAAGCAACTACTCCCAGCAATGGGGCCTCATCTTTGTGCATGTGCCCAAGACCGGCGGGACGTCCATCGAAGAGGCGCTACTTGGCGGGGCTGTTGGGCCTGGCACTAAGCTGCACTCGTGCCACGCGTCTCTGAGTGACCTACTCGAGTGCGCCGCGAACTCCACCCCAGCCTTCTATGTCTGGCGCCACCCGCTGGACCGGTTGGTTTCGCTCTTTGAGTATGCCAAAGCAGGCGGCAACGGTGAGAGGAACGACCTCTTGAGGTACGCGTGGATGAGAGATCGGAACTTTAGCAACTTTGTGCACGAGCTAGCTCGCATCCGAGGGACGCTCGGGCAGCTTCCGAATATCTTCAAGACGCAGAGCTCATGGATGGGCTATCGCAAGCGCGCGACAGACGAGCGGGCAACGATATCATCGGCCACGCGTCGAAACGGCACACAAGCTGAAGTGATTGCGTTGCACTTTCACGCTCTTACACAGGGTTGGCGCGGTCTCGCCAACCAGTACCCGCGCTTGCCACAAAGAATTGGCCACTCCCGAGTCAGCCGTCACGCATGCTGGCCGTCCTATTACACAGATCCTTTGATTAACGAGTTGACGAGGCTGCTGTACGAGGATGACTTCGAGCTGGTTCACCCCTCGGTCGTGGAGGACGCACGCAGCGCAGCGCAGGCCTGTATAATGGGTCAACCACGCGGTCTATCATTAGGTAGCTGATAGGGGCGGTCCGTAATTAGATGAACGAACCCAAGATCACGGACACACAGTCGAGAAAGAATTCTTACAATACAAGCCACTCTCACAGCACACTGGCACGACAAGGGCGCGGACTGAAAAGAAAGAAAGCGAGCGTTCACACCAATCCTCGCTACACTCCGTGAGCGACAAGCCCTTGCTTCGCCTGCCGAATATATGCATATTCACCCAGTGCCGTCCCCAAATGCAGTCGGCAACGCCCAGCTCTACGTCGAGATCGGAAGCCGCGAAACGCAGTTCGGCGGCAGCAAGGCGGCGGACGCATCGGGGCTCGGCGGCGGTCTCAACAACATGCTCATGAACGTGGCGCAGCTTCTGCACGACTCGTGCGGCGGTGGACGGCACGGCAACACGACCCTCGTCCTGCCGCAGCTCACCTCTGGCTGGCGCTTCTTCAAGGCCTCGCAGCCGGGCTCCCGCATCAAGGAGTCGGTGGAATTTGGAGATGTCTTCGACGCTGCCGCCTTCGCGCAGCGCGTGGCGCCGTGCCGCGTGGCGGAGGTGGCGCCCGTCGGCGTCGCCGTGCAGGAGGCCGCTGTCGTCGGGATCAACCGGCAGTGGCCGTACGAGGCGTGGCTGCCTCTGGTTTACGGTGCCCTCGCACCGAGCCGCAAGCTGCAGCCGGCAGTGGCGCAGATGGTTAGGCGGGCAGCGGCGGGCGGAGGGCCGCGGTGGGCGGCGGTGCACCTGCGGATCGAGCGTGACTGGTGGGTCATCAGCGGCTTTTGCACGGCGCGCCGCTTCCCGCACCGCCGCTGTTACCCTCCGTCCGAGGTCGCATCGCTGACCGCCGCGAGCCGGCTGAGGAGGAACGTGAGCGGGGTGGTGCTCATCTACGCGGCGGATAACGTGGCGAGGAGCGGGCCCGAGGTACGGCCCGAGCAGTTCGGAGCGCGCGTCCTCTCCCTGCCGTCTGCGCCCGAGAGCACCGGGCACTAGATGCGGAGCACGGATGCGGAGTACGAAGACCCCTCGAGGCTCTAGCTGGCAGCGAGCTCGGCTGGATCCCACTGCACTGCGCAGCCGCATGCACTGCACTCGCGGCCGCTGCGCGCACGCTCTGCGCCGAATGCGCTGCAGGAGGAGTCACACCCCGAGTTCTGCTCCAGGCATGGCGTACACGCTGCGCACCGCCGCCGAGTTCTTCACCGCCGCCGCGGCGCCGGGGGGCTTCTACGGCACCGCTCCCCCCGCCCCGCCCCTCCTCCTTCTCTCGCGGGATCGCCCGAGATCAGCGGAGGCCATCCGGCGACGAGCCCCCGCTGCAGGCAACTCCTTCTCGACATTCTCCGCCGGGGTGGCGCTGCACCGCAAGTTCGCGCGTGGGAGTGCGGCCGCCGCGCCGCGCGCCGCGTACGCCTACGACTGCCAGCCCGCCCTCGTGCGAGGCATGCGCAGCAGCGAGCTCTTCCGCACGGTGAGTGCCGCGCGGTGCGCCGCCGCGGCGGGCGGGGTGGCGGCGGCGCGCTCCACTGACGCGGCGCGAGGAAAGGGCGTCAGGTCGGGACTGTCGCAGGGGCGATAGGACGATATTCACACCGATATATAAAGCACACCGATATATAGCTCTGGTGCTGCTGCACATCGTGTCACCGAGATATATGTTAATACTCGATCGCGCCACAGCCCACGCGCCACGCCGGCCCACTGCTGCGTCGCAGCGGTGCACGGCTACCACACGCGATGCTCCATCATGCATCAAGAGAGTCTCTCAAGAGAGTCGAAGCGCCGGGGGGCCGCTTGAGAGTGGCCTGGCCCTGGGAGCTGGGGGGGGGCAGTGAAACCACCCCCGCCTCAACCCGCTCAGGGACGGACGCATTTCCCCCCTTTCAAAGGCGGTTTCGAAGTTGATGAGACCTCGCCCCCCCCTCTCGAATGAAAGGCGTAAAAAGAGGCGCGGAACAGGCCGGAAGCGCCGCTTGGACGTGGGTCACACAACGGCAGCGCTCCAGACGCGCTCTGGTAGCTGCCAATGAAGCTGTAGCCCATCGCGCGCGCGCCGGACGGCCATTGCACCTCTACTGCAGTGCCCTCCTGCACCGAGAGCGACGCGTCAAACCTTTGCTGCCCATGACCGCCGGCGGCTCCGAGCTCGGGCGAGCGAGCCCTGGCTGAGCTGAGCCTCTGCGGTCGCAATGCAGCGCTGCGGTCGGTGCAGAGTGGCCGTGTGCGTACGGCGTCGTACGCGCACGGCCGCTCTGCCTCAGTGTCGTGCGGCTTGGGCCAACTGAGGTCGCTCTCCGACCTCGCTCGCCGAGCTCACAATCCGGCGCGAGCCGCATCGAGTGGAAGTTCGACTTCAGCTTCCGCGAGTGGATGCACTGCCTTGTCGAGTGCAAGCAGTTGGGCTCCGCCGGGAGCATGTGGTGCAACATGTTCTCTGGGCGCCAGCAGACGCGAGCGCGCAAGCGCGTGTTGAACCGGACGCTCCATAGCAACACTCAAGATACACTCCAAGGGGGGTACACGTTTTTTATTCGGGTTCGGGGCCCAAGAGTACACTCTTGGCGACGAAACCGAAGCGGGTTGGCCCCGGGGTGGTTTCACTGCTCCAGCTCGGCAGCGGTGCGGGCAGCCTCCTGTCACAGCACACACACAGGAAGGACTGTGTGGTTGTAGGAGACCGCACCAACCATCACTTTACTGTGCGATAGCGAAGAGCCGCTGTGATTTATGACCGCGCAAGACAATAAGTAAGGGTGGCTCAGGGCCCTGAGGGAGGGTGTAGAGGATGTAGAGTGTAGAGCTGTAGAGCTGTAGAGATGTAGAGCGCTGTAGAGCTGTAGAGCTCTACATCCGCCGCGGGGCGAAGCGCCTCCGTTGTAGAGCGATGTAGAGGCGCTCTACAACGTGAAATCTCTACAACAAACTCTACATCATAAGCGGCGAACGAGGCACGGTCGCTCTCCGACATGAGGCGCGTTGCACTTGCCAGTGCTGCCCTGGCCTTCTGTCTGCCCGCCCAATGGGTGGCAGGTGCCTCTGCTGCTGTGGCATGCCTCACGGCTGCGACTGGCCGGCGCCTCGGCGCGTCAGCTCGGCTCGGCGTAGCAATAGTGGCCAGCGCAACTCGCCTGGACTCAACGCTCAGCCATGAGCTCCCGCACGCGCTGGCGCGAGGCATGGCGCATGCAACGCGTCTGAATGCTCGCCTCGCTCGCGCAAATGCGACCGTCCTCGCAGCCGACAGTCCACCGCCTGCTAAAGAAGCACAGCGACGAATGCGGCACCGGCGACACATGGCAGGCTGGTCATGACGCAGTTATAGGGTGTTGTGTGCCGTCGGAGTCACTCTCTGTGTGTCAGGGATAGTCAGGGCTGTCCATCAGAGCTCCACTAAGCTCGGAGACACCCCATTAGCGCGGCTCGACCTCTTTGAGTCACTGCCTTCCCGGCGGTTTGGCTGTAGAGCCTCTACAACAAACTCTACAGCAAAATCGGGCTCTACATCGCTCTACAACGGAGGCGCTTCGTCCCGCGGCGGATGTAGAGCTCTACAGCTCTACAGCGCTCCAGAGCGCTCTACATCTCTACAGCTCTACAGCGCTCTACACTCTACATCCTCTACACCCTCCCTCAGTCAGGGCCGCTCTGCCCGCAAGGCGCCCCCGCGTCGCCCGGACGCGGTACCATTGACTAACTAATCCCGGAATCACACCCACACGACCAAATAGCGAAAATAACAATTTTGGCAAACGCCAAACATGCATGGGCGATCCAGCGGCTTCCTTCAGAAATGATCGCGGAAAAGCGGGGGGTTGGACGGACCGCATTTTCGGGGGTTCACCATCTGCCCAGCCGGCACCAACTTGATTCGTAGATGCGCGTCTCACGGCCGGACCGCGGGACGGGGAGGGAGGGGGATGGATCCGTAAATCCGTAAGTCCGTAAATCGTGTAACAAAAAACCACTAGAGACTCCCCCGCCGCACCCAGCTACAAGGCAGGCAGAGACACAGCACTCGCGACACGGAGAAGCCGGAGGCTGGCCTCTCCAATGCTCGCGCAACGCTGTCTGAGTGTCTGTGCACGCGCAGCAGCTCTCCGTCCGGGGTCCGCGCGGGCGGCGCACACAGTGGGAGGGCGACGACCGTGCGACTGTAACGCTACGTATATCTCTTAACAATAACTATATTCGCGCTTGCGCTGCGCCTCTGCGAGTGCGACTATCAACCTCTCTCGCGTGCGCATATAATCCCCTCCATCTTGTCGTACAGCCTTGACCTCTCCGCCTTTGCGGCATCAGCGCGCCTCGCCTCTGCCTCCATCGAAATCTGCAGCGCGTCGAGCTGCTCGCGCAGCTCGGCCTGCATCTTGGCCCGCATCTCGCCGATACGCCACTCACACTCAGCTCGAGCTGCGTTTTTTGCCTCGTCAGCCATCCGCTCGGCCGCTTTGATGTCGCGTTTAGTAGCCTGCTGCGCTGTCCTCAGGTTGTCGCGGTCGGAACGCCTAAGCTCTTGTGCCGCAGCAAGCTCAACCCGCGCCGACGCGAGCGCCTTCTTCACAGCGCTCGCAGAGCGCTTCTCAGAAGCGAGCTCCTTGGTCTGTGACCGCAACTTCTCTTCCAACTCCTGCCGGAGCAGCACCTCAGCACTCGCACTACTCGCGGCTGCATGGATGTCCGAGCCCTTTACGGTGTGGTTTGCGCGTCTGTGCTGACGAGAGTGCGGGAGATGCTGCCGTTGTGCTGACCAGAGATTACGCCAGCGGTAGCAGTGGCTGCTCAGTGGCTGCTTGGGCACACAACAACATTGCTCGTGGCCGAGCTGGCATAAACCGCCGCACCAGCCTCTGCGGCTGCAGGGGTGATTTGGATCGCGTCGAGCACTGCGCCTGTATCGTGCTTGAGCATGGCCTCGTACGTACTGAAGTCGGCTATCCTGAGTTCGTTGAGCAGGCGCTCCAGCACAATGCTGAGCTGCGTCGGTGCCATGTGTCGACGTGTCCAAGGGAACACGGACGTCGCCGAAGGCCTTCTACCGCCTGCCATCACGCTGCAGAGCCTGCGTAGACGCCACAGACGCCAATTCTGCAGCCCACAGCCCTGGCAACTGAGGGCGAGGGCCAGCAGTATACGACGACGACGAAATCTCACACCCCGAGCTGGCCAGCGCCATCAGCCCCTCTGGCCCCCTCACGGCCCGGCCCAACCTCCCTTCGCCTCGCCTCCAGTGCCTCCAATCAAGTCGCACCTCTCTTCTTCAGCGAATGCAGCGGCAGCACCACGTCAGAGGCCGGGCCGACTGGCGGACCTGCATGCCCAGCCATGCCCCCCACTCCCCACCCGCTTGGTCCTTGGATCGATCAGCTGACAGCTCCACCAGCTCCACCACCGCGTGTCGTGTCATGAAGCATGAGATAGACATAGAAAGCATGAACCATCGAAAGGTCTGGTCTCCAAAAAGAACTCTCGGCGCCCGCCGCGGGCGCCGCGCGCGCCCGCGCCCCGCCCCTTTTGCGCAGCAACACCTTTAAATTTCATGGCCCTCCAAATCCTCCAAATTCGGGTCGGAGCGTAGCGGAGTGGGCCCCGAGTTTGAAAAAGGCGACGGACGCTTGCGTCCTAGCCTCCAACAACGCCTCCACGCACCACGTCGCAGAGGGGCCCCCGGAGGGATGCACAACCGCTCCACGCCACGCCGCTTGCGGCGGTCCTATTCCCAGCTTCTGGGGCCAGTTATTATTTTGACCGCGCAAGATAAAGGGGGACTAAGGGCTCTGCCCGCAAGGCGCCCGCGTCGCAGACGCGGTACTCAGCTTCGTAACCCGTGAAAACAAAAGCAGGACCGTGGCTCCCAAATACGACAACGTCGGTTCAAGTTTGGCTACCTCCATAACATGGGCGATCCAGCGCTTCCTTCGATCGGGGAAAAGCGCATCGCGACATCTCTGGGGTCACCATATGCCGGACCGGCATAAGACATACCGGCTTACGCTCACGCCTGCGACCGAGGCGGCGCTGCTGCGGCTGAAGGAGTGCGGAGAGAACAAGCAGCTGCTATCCCGTTGCGCGCTGTGGTGCAGCGGCGATGCCCTTGAGGCGCTCATCGTGCTCCAGAAGCTGCGCTATCCGTACCAGGTGGGCCAAGCTGGTGAGTGGGGTGAATGCATCTTGCCGGGGCCGTGGCAGGCGATCGAGTTCGACGACGTTCAGTGGCGAGCGGTTGCCGTGGTGCAGGGCGCATGGGTCCGTGACTGGACGCAACAGGGCAGGCGCACTGACCTTACCGTACAGGCCGAGCCGCTTCTCCCATCACTTCCCCCGCTTCAATCGCCGGATCAGCAGCAGCCTCTACCCGACCCAGCTGCGCTGCATCCCACACCGCAGCCGCCCCCGATGCCATGGGTGCCACGAGAAAGTTTTACGTGTGCCGGGCTCACCGACAAACCGCCAAGATTCTGGAGCTCACTGGCCGATGCTTTGCCCGCGCTGACGACACAGCCATGGTTCGATGAGAGTGCCGAGGCACAGGCAGAACGTCTACAGCTGCCTCTCCTAGACCCACGCAACGCCGACCACGACAACCACAAGTGGTCAGCGCAGCCGCCGGTCAAACGCGTGTGCTATCAATCAATGCGGCCGTGCGAATGGAAGCAGACGTGGTACACTGATGCATTCCAGTGGGTTGAGTACAAAACTGAGCTGGTGCGCTTCTTACATGCACTGCGTTGCATTGTCGATGGTACCACCGAGTACCTGGACGTCGAGTTTGCGCCTGAGATGTGGCGCTTGAGGGGCGGCGGCGTCAACTGCTACCCGTGCAAAAACGCGCGGGCGCGAGAGGAGTTTGACGAAGACCCGTGTGAGCTATGCGGTGCCGGGATGGAGGAGCCGTGCCAAGAGCACTGTGTCATTCCAAGGGCCGCACGCAACTGGTGGACTGCGTACGAGGCAGAGCTGAGCGGACAATGGCCGGCGTGGTGGAGCTCAGGCGGACTATCGGATTATTGGATTCCCCGCCGCGGCTGGTGCGTTGCACAGCGTACTCTACTGCGTGTGAAGCTGCTGCTGGCTCGCATGGTGCTCAACCGTGGCGACTCGCTGGCCATGCGATGCCTCATTCTCGCTGGCACGCCCCCTACTCCCAAGTTTGCGGACCAGCACAAACCGCCACTCCACCAACGACTGCTGCACTTCCGCGGTGTGATCCACTTCAGCAATTACGATGGTGCAGCAAAGGAGCTTGAGAGCATGCAGACGTCGACGTTGTATCCTGAACGTCGCAACATGGACATCAGCGAGATTGCAGCCAAGTACGGGATAGCCTATGGCCCGCAGCCATTGCACTACATCATTGAGTCGAGCACGTTCAGCCGCAACCTGCTTGGTCACTCGCTCTCGCCATGCGACTTTAGCTATGATCCGATTGTGGGTGGCGAATTTACTGATCACCTCTGCCGACGCCAGGATGGCATGTTTGATCCGGGCGAAGTGGGTGACCACTCGCTGGCGCGTGGCGGGCACGGCTCTCTCTGGCGACACAAGTGGGGTGAGCCGCCGCCTGCGTGGCCCGAGACAGACACTAACCTACCTGCACCGTATCGTCCCACAGCAGAGAGGGTTGCGCGCATCTGCCGTGAGCGCGTGCTTCATCTTCTCTTTCCAGCGAAGCTTCGCGCTGAAGTAGAAGCTGGTGCGCCAACGCGAGGTAGCGCTAGTCAACGATAGGAAGTGGTAGACGCCCGAGGGTGGGCGACGGCTAGCACCACACTTCTCCCCTAACTCTGGTTCCGTGCTTAGAGCCTACTGTATACTTGATGCAGAGCTTTCCGACGTCATTGTGTTTGCCGCTCCGCGCTCGACGCCCGCCGCCGCGCGCGCCCGCGCGCCACCCCTTTTCGCTTTTGCGCAGCAACACCTTAAATTTCATGGCCCTCCAAATTCGGGTCGGAGCGTAGCGGAGTGGGCCCCGAGTTTGAAAACGGCGACGGACGCTTGCGTCCTAGCCGCCAACAACGCCTCCCCGGCGCAGAGGGGCCCCCGGAGGGACGCTCAACCGCTCCACGCCACGCCGCTTGCGGCGGTCCTATTCCACGCTCGCGGGGGCCGGTTCTATCGTTTCCCATAAGTAGGGTAGGTGGTTGGGCGGGCACTGTTGGTGGTGGTGCGCACTCTGCGCAGCGCCACCAGCGGCGCGTCGGAGTGGCGGCCGCCACTGGTGTGGTGCAGAGCGGTTCCTCTCCGGAGAGCCCCAGTCACCACCGGCGGCCGCCTTCAACTCCCCGAGCGGGGCCCTGGGACCGAGGGCGCGCTCGGCTTCCTGCGCTTTGCGCAAGCGCAGGGTCACAACCCCTGGGCCAGTTGTTGGTGGTTAACCACCTCAAGGCCAGCGCGCGGGCGATGGAATGACTCCAGCAGCTCAAGGGCTCAAAGTACTCCGGCGCGCGCGCGCGCGCGCCACCGCCCCCGGCGCGGGGTGGGATATCAGTTCGTGTGAGTTCTGTGGCCCCATCCCTATGCCCCACCTTCTTCTCCGTTGCCAGTCCCCGAGAACCCCACTATATAGCGCCACCTCGTGAGCTGTCCTGTGAGCTGTGTGCTGTGTGTCCAGCAGTCCGGACCCGGTGATACGGCCGGTGACACGTGCCTCGTGTCGGCTCCCGAGCCAACCAATCGTGTGCAACGTGTGTGTGCGTGTGGGCCCGTCCTCCTTGCTTGGAGGTGTGTAAGACTGATGACTGACTGAGGGTAGGTGGGAGGCAGAGTTTGTGTCGTAGGTGTGAAGAGTCCCCCGGGCCGCGCCGCACCAGCGGAGTCTCCGGCGGCCAGAGCCAGGGCGGCATAACTCTATCGAAGAAGTTATGCCCGAGCTTAAGCTCGAGACTGGGAACACTGAGGAGCAGTGGGCGATGCTCAGTGCGCTCGCGCATACGACCGCGGCCGCGCCGGCGGCCAAGCAGTCTCCGACTGCCGACCAAATTGTCGGGGAGTTTGTCGCTGCGCTCGCCGCCAAGCAGCCGACGCCCGGCGGCGGCGCTGCGGCTGCCGTCGGCGCGGCCGTCGGTGCAGCCGCCGCGGCGATGGCCGCCGCGTACACGACACGGAAGAAGGACCGCGAGTCTGGCGCCGCAGCAGCGGCAGAGGCCCTGATTGCAACGCTGGACACGGCAGCGGTGCTGGCGGCGGCGGACGCGGACGCCGTGGCGTACGCCGACCTGCAGCGCTCGTGGAAGGACGCGGACATGTCGGCCGAGGAGAAGGCCGCGGTGGAGGCACGCGCGCTGGCGGTGCCGGTCCAGCTGGTCGAACGGTGAGGAGAACAGAGAGAGAGGAAGGAGACACGCACCAGTCTGGGACGCCGGCCTGACCGCCTCGCAGGTGCCACGCGTACGTGCTCGCCATCCAAGCCTTCCTCCCCTCGTGCAACCCAAACATCACCTCGGATGCAAAGGCGGCCCTCACCGCTCACCACTCACCCTCTGCCCGGCCCTCAGTGACTCCCGCCCCCACCACGCCCCTCGCAAAGGTTGGTATCCACCAGCTCGCGGGCGCGGCGCGAGCAGCCTTCCAGACGGCGCTCGTCAACTCTCCGCCGGCCGCCGAGCGCGAACGGCTGCGCGGGCTGCTGCGCGAGATGCGGGAGGTCGAGGAGGCGCTGCTCGAGGGCGAGGCGTGTCCGTGAGACAGTCAGTGTCCAGACACAATCTCTCGCGCTCTGTGCACAGGGTAATCTGTGTGATGCTGATGGGACACACAGCTCACACTCAGGGAGGGGGGGGCCTCGGCTCTCCTGAGACTCTCTGCGGAGAGGAGGGGCCTCGAGTCCCTCGAGCGGAAGCAGGCTCTTGTAATAGCCGAGGAGCCAGGCGAGAGCGGCGGGATCACGCTCATCACACCACGCAACTCATTTTTTTGCTTTCAACACCGCGACGGTCGGGCGCGCGGGAGCGGTGAACGCCGCACGGCGCCCCCGTCTCTCGCGTCTCGGTCTCCGTCGCTCATCTCTCGCGCGCCAGCTCCACGGCGCGCTGCTCAACTGTCTCTCACCTAGCGGGAGCCCACGGTGGGGGGGTGTCTCCACCTTACGCAACGTCCCTCAGCCGCCGTGCGCGCCCGCTGCCGCGCCGGCGCCCACTGCCTCCCCATGCTCTCCCTCCGCGGCTGCGAGCGCCTTTTGCCGCCTGCGCTGCCGCTTCGTGAGGAGATCCCCGCGCCGCATCGCCGTCTCGGCGGATCGCTGTCGCTCCCCGAGGACGACCTTGATCATCGCCATCGACTTGCGCGTCATGCGCGCCCGCTCGGGGTGCGGCATCGTCGTTTTGCGCCGTTCGTGCAGCAGCTTGACCGACGCGAGCATGTTTCGCTCGCGGAGCAGCACGGCCCATAGCTTCTGCAGGTCAGCGTCGCTCTTGAGCCGGATCTCGGCGGCGGACCAGCGGCGGCCGGGTGGAGGCAGCTTCGGATCCACCTCGTACGGATCCACAAACGCCTCCAGGTACGGCGCAAGAGACGGTGCTTCGCTAGCGTCGCCGCCGCTGCCGTCCTCGTCGCCCGACGGCTCGGGACCCGTGCTCAGCGGGCGGAGAAGCGGCGAGGGCGCACCGGCGGGGCGGTGCAGGCGAGCTCCTCCCAAGGCGGCGCCTCGCACAGTGAGGCGCGACGCGCCGCGAGAGAGTGGGCGCAACAACATATCCTACATACTCGAGTATGTGGTGTGTACGGTCGGCCCAGGGGCGTGGTTGAGGGGTTGGTTGAGGCCCCCCCTGTTGAGTATATGAGCGACCCACCTCGAGGGTTGCTCCTGACTCTGGCCTTTTCTGGGTCACGTAGCCACACCTCGCCTCCTTGGTGCGAGTGGCTGCCAGTTCGACTCTGGGGAGGATCGAACCATCAACATGGTACCTCCGGTGAGATCTCCCAGGTCGTCGGCGGTCTAGGGATGGGGAAGGAGGACAGGGTCCCCACCTGCACGAGCAGGATTTTGGAAGGACGATCAGGGGGACAGGTGGGGCTCTCCTGCTCCTGACAAGGGTAGGGACAGAAGGCTCCTACGCGCGCCCGGCCCCACCAAGGTTTTTCTCGCCCGCCTCGCCGCCCAACCACGTGGCAGATTTTTTTCAACCAGCGCAGGCGTGCGCCCTACGAGCCGAGCCCTTCACCTTTGAGCGATGTCCACAGTGAGCGCCTGCCTCTCCCGCTACCATCCCGCCCTGGCCTCCGTCGCCCCTCGCCGCCGCCACTCTCGCCGCCGCCCAAAACTCCGCTTCCGCCCACGCCGCCCCCCACGCTCGCCGCCGCCGCCCACACCGCCACCACCAATCCCTCCGCCCCCACGCCGCCCCCACCTTCGCCGCCTCCTGCCTCTCCGCGCCGCCCTCCCCACGCCGGCGGCACCAGCCCCTTCGCCGCCCACGCCGCCTTCACCCTCGCCGCCGCCGCCCTCGCCGCCGCCCTCCCGCGCCCTCCTGCGCCACTGCCCTCCTGCGCCGCCGCCACCAGCCCCTCCGCCACCCCACCGCGGTTGCGCGCCCCCCCTCCCGCCCCCAAACCAACGCCCTTTGCCTCCCGTAGGTGCCCGTCAATCCCAAGCCCTTCCTCAACGACCTCACTGGCAAGCCCATCATCGCCAAGCTCAAGTGGGGCATGGAGTACAAGGGCGCGCGCCCGCGCACTGCCAATCGCCGCCGCCCGCGCCCGCCGCCGCCCGGCCTCTGCCTGCCGAGGAGCCGCTTATCTTCCGCCCGCCTGCGCCGCCGCCGCCGCCACGTGCGCCGCAGCCGAGCGGCTTCCGGACATCCCCCCCCCCCCCGCCCCCCAGGCTACCTCGTCTCTGTCGATTCGTACATGAACTTGCAGGCACCACTGATCCCCCCTGCCCCCGCCCCTGCCTCGCATCTGAAGCCATTCGCCGTGCCACGCCGTGGTACGCCATGCTACGCCGCCCTCGCCTCCGCCCCTTGCCCCCCTCGCCGCCGCCGCTCCCTCGCCGCCGCCGCTCCTCGCCGCCGCCGCTCCTCGCCGCCGCCGCTGCCGCCGCCGCCGCCGCCGCCGCTCCTGCACCCGCCGCTTGCGTACTCCGACCCTTGACTCGGCTCGGACCCCTGACTGCGCCCACCGCTGCTGCAGATGGCGAGCACAGAGGAGTGGATCGACGGCGAGTTCTCGGGAAACCTGGGCGAGGTGCGGGCAAAGGGAGGGGGGCTTTGCTTGCTTGCTTGCTGCTGCTGCTGCTGCTGCTGCTGCACGTGACGCAATCTCCCCTCCTCGGCCATGCCCCGCAGGTGCTCATCCGGTGCAACAACGTGCTGTACATGCGTGGCTTGCCCGAGGAGGACGACGAGTGAGGTGGCGAGTCTCTTCTTCTTACCTCTCTAACTTTGCGCGCTGCGCTGTTCACCCCTGTTATCTCTGTTGGCTGTAGTAATTTCAGTGCCGAGGCCCGCCTTTGTATGCACTAAAATAGCCGTGCGCGACGCGCCTCCGCCCGGTCGTCGTGCGCCGAGGTGCGAGGTCGCCGTCGCGCGTCGGGGCCTGACACACGCAAACCAATGGCCAATGCGTCTAAAGAAAGAAAGAAAGAAAACAGACAACCCAAGGGAGGGATGGGAGGACGGCACGCCGCCACCACACAGGGATTTTAAGGAGAGAGGTGTGGTGCGCCAATGCGTAAGAAAGAAAGAAAGAAAACAGACAACCCAAGGGAGGGATGGGAGAACGGCACGCCGCCACCACACAGGGATTTTAAGGAGAGGGGTGTGATGCGCCAATGCGTCTGATTAAACTGCTGCCTCGGGAAATTCTTTTTTGCTTGACGCTACCCAACCGCGGCGTGAGCCGTGAGATACGGTAGGGTGCTCCTGCTGACCTTTTCTTGGGAGCCAGCAGCCGCTCGCGCGCAAGCCCCGCGATGGTGTTGAGCTGCATGCGATTCGCCCTTTTCGTGCTCCCATGCGCCGCGGCCCGCCTAATCCAGCCCCGCCGTGCCTTCCTCGCTGTCCCAGCCTCGCTTCTGCCTGTGATGCGCCGCAGCGATGCGGCGGTGGCCGCACCGTCAAAGGCGGCATCGCCGGCGGCGGCAAAGCAGCAGATTCTCGCTGGCTATGACGAACTAGGAAGGCTCCTCCGCGACTTTGAGGCGGTGGTGTCGGGTGGTGGCGGCGATGGCGTTCGCCGTGTCCTCGGCACGGTGGGCACTGTAAGCCCCGTGTACCTGATCGAGCCGGCGTTCCGGCTACTCTTCGACGAGGACGAGAGCCTGCCGATGGAGTACATCGAGACGGTCGAGTCGCTCATGCGCAATCTGGCAGCCGCGGACAGCGAGGCGTACTCGGCTATCTTCATCGAATTTTCGTCGGCAAAGGGCAAGCCGGCCGACTACTTTGGGCGCTCTAAGCAGGCGGTCGCTCGTGCGAGAGATGACTGGAGGCAGTTGATGGACTACCTGAGCATGTGAGGGCGTAACGAAACAAGTTACCTGCGCGCGCGCTTCCCCGATCGCCGATGCAATCGCAGCTAGAGAGGAGCGGACAGAGGTCTCTGCCTTCACCGTCTTGGTCTTGGTTTCGTGTGTAATGGCCGTGTGTACGCTTGTGGCGCGATACACTCTATTAAATCTACATGGGACGCGAGCGCGACCGAGACAAAGTGACAAACACACACACGCGCGCGCGCATCTCGCACAAGCGAGAAACCACAAGAGCTAAGAGAGGACACATCCGGAAGGAAATTCTGAGAAGAAGAACGGAAGAAGCTAGCGCGCGTATCTCGCCGCGCGGCTGAGAGATTTACGTTGCTCCAACAACGTCCGTCTGGGAGTCAGAGGATTTGTGGGGGCGAGCCAGGGGGAGACCGCCGTCGGGGCGCGCCGACCTGTCCACATCACGCGAGGAGGCTTTTCTCCGGCTCGAACGGCCGCTCGGTCTCGGTCGGCACCGGCTCGGGCCTTCCGGTGAGGTGATGTGCAAAGGCTTTGGCCGCCTCGGCAGTGCTCGGGTAGTCCACGATGGCCTGGAGCAACCTGCGGCCGAGCGTCTCGTCGCTGCACTCGAGCGTCTCGAGGCTGCACTCCTCTGCCACACCAGCGTACAGAAAGAGCCGATGCCGTCCGCCCGTGGGCGGGTAGGAGATCATGCGCGACCGGCAGAGCCCGCCGTCGCACGAGAAGTGGCACTCGATGTACTGGTTGACCGCGCCGACGACTGCTGCAAAGCGAGCTTCCTCCTCAAGCGTGCGGCTTTCGGTGAAGGGAGGAGCCTCCGGGCCGGCTGCGGTGGGATGTAGAAGACTCTCCAGGTCTACCTCGCCCCTCTCCACCGCGCCAGCAGCCTCCCCGCCTCCGGATGGCGACTCACGTGGCTGGCACGGCTCGGACGCTGCCGCGGGTGCCTGGGCACCAAGGTGGAACGTTGGTGCGTCGTTCGATGCCAGCGGTAGCTCAATCCGGCACTCGAGCCGGCCCGAATCCTGGTCGTAAGTCGTGTGAAGAGAGGTTGCACCGACGGCCCTCGCCTGCCGCAGATGAGCAGCAAGCACCGCCTCGCAAGCAGGCCCGATTGGAACGGCGGGCCGGGCGGGCCGAGGTACGGCCACGGTGACGAGTAGGTACGCGAGGGACATCGGTTCACTTCGTCCCTCTGGCTTCGGCTGGATCCGGATGCGCGGCAGAGAGCTTTGAGAGTGATTGTCGCGGTTTTATCGTTTCGCCGAAAAAAAGAATTTCTTCCCTGCAGAAGGACCGACAGAGCAGGTACTTTTTTGCTTGGGTGGGCCTCATCACGGGGTAGGTAGGGTAGGTCTGGGCCCTCCCGTCGGGTTTTTCCCTCTCTTCACGCTGGCTGGAATTTTCACAGCAGAAAAAGAAATTTTTCGGAAATCACGATGTCAAACGTCCCCAAATGGGTAATCTGATGCTTGTAGGGCCTGAGAGTGGCCTGCCATGTCACAGGAAGGACTGTGGTTGCAGGAGAGTACCACCACCCATCACTTTAGTTGGTTACCGTCGGGTCTCTATTTTAAGACCAGGTAAACAGCAATAGATCCGGCCCTCAAGCGGCCTAATCGATACCCGGCCCTCACGGAATCGGTCCCTCGTTGTACAGCAATCGATCCTTCACACTGCCCGCGCTGCCAAACTTGCCGAGAATCGGTCCCCATGTTACCTGTGGCGCGGCATGAATGTACTGGCATGAATGTACTGTTGGGTGAGTGTACCCTTGCATCCCGCCAGTGTGATGTATCTGCTGTGCCGAACGTGCGCGTTTGGCATGTGGAACCTCTCACCTGGTGCGTGGCAACGGGCCCCCTGTGGCTGTGCCCCCTCCCCCCCCCCCGCCCGGGTGTCTAGCAATTGGTCCCTTGGCAAGCGCGAATCGGTCCCCCTGGCTCCAGGAACTGATCCGGCACTACACCCGGATCTATTGCTGTTTACCTGGTCTTAAAATAGAGACCCGACGGTAGTACCCCACCTTCACCCGTCCCACGATTTCTTTTTTAGTTTCCCATAAGTAGGGTAGGTAGGTAGGTAGGTAGGGGCACCGCAGGGGCCGGTCAGGTTTTTGCAGAATTTCATGAACATGATGAGGCCCACCCAAGCAAAAAAAGTACACACCTGGACAGAGGTGCGAAAAAAGAATTATCCGCAAATCGGCTCCATGTTAAGCGGCCGAGTCAGCTCGTTTCTCGCCTCCTCCGACAGCTGTCCCAGCTCTCGCCTGGAGCTCTCTGGACCTGGCGTCCTGGCCCGTCCAACGGGCCCACCACCGTCTCACGACGTCTCTGCTCGACAGCTCCCCCCGCCCACCCATCCGGGTACTCCAGCCGCCGCCGAGGTACTCCAGCCGCCGCCGAGGCGGTGCTGAGCTTCCTGGAGTCGGCGCCGGTCCGTGTGGTCAGCGTGAGCACGATGAACAAGGTATGCGAATACTCGAGTTTACCCCCCTGCCTCCCACGCGCCCTCGCTCACGCTGGGGCACGAATGACCCAGGGTGTGGCCTACGTCAACGGCTTCAATCTGGGCCGATACTGGCTGCGACGAGGGGAGTGCAAGGGCGCGTGCGCGCCGCCCGTCAAGCATGGCCACTGCTACATGCGCTGGAAGGCATGCGGGCGGCCCACGCAGACTCTGTACCACGTGCCGACCGAGGTGCTCGCGCCCGTGCGTAACCTCGTAGTCCTCTTTGAAGAGACGGTGGGCACGGCAACACCGCGAGACCTCGCGGGCGTGTCCCTCGTGGCACTGCACGAACATCCTGCAACCGACTGAGTGTAATTTCAAACGTGTAATTTCACGAATGGAGTGTAATTTCAAACGTTGTGTCGACCGAGGCAGTTCACTTTTCTGAACACGCAGAGTGACTTCTGTGAGTGCTCTTGGCGAAGTGAATGACACACATGGACAGTCACGAGCCCTTCGCAGTACGATCGTTGATCCGATACACATGAAGTGGATTCATTTCATGGCAGCGCTGGCAAGCAAGGCCACCGACGGACGGCGACTCTGGACGACATAGCTCTTGCCATAGATGCTGGCGTCTCTGGTGGTGTAGGCGCCACCCTAACGTTGATTGCAGGGCGGGAGCCTGGGCTTGCAGGGCAGGAGTTTGGGCCGCTTGAGACTGATGAGGTTAAGGGTGGCGAGGGAACCCCTTGCATGTCCGTGAACGCATTCATGCAGGTCCTCGCCTTTGCCAAACGGCGACGCCGCTTGAGAAATGCAACGCCGCCTAGACCTAAGATGATGAGAGCGACGCACCCAACAATGGCCCCAATTATTCCAATTGAGCTGCCGCTACCACTGTCATTGGCAGCCAAGCCCTCCGAGGTTTGGGTTATCACAGGCAGCCAAGGAGGCGGCGAGGGCGGCGGAGGGCTCGGTGGAGGCGGCGATGGAGGCGGTGGGGACGGAGGCGGCGACAAGAGGGGTGGCGGCGAGGGGGGCGGTGGGCTGGGTGGTGGTGGCGACGGTGGTGGGAGCGATGGCGGCGGCGGCGACGGTGGGGGTGGGGATGGCGGCGGCGGCGAGGGTAGCGGCGGGATCGGGGGAGGCGGCGACGGAGGCGGCGATGGAGGCGGTGGGGACGGAGGCGGCGACGAAGGGGGCGGCGGGCTGGGTGGTGGTGGCGGCGGCGACGGAGGTGGCGGCGATGGCGGCGGCGGCGACGGAGGCGGGGGCGACGGCGGAGGGGGCGATGGCGGAGGGGGCGACGGCGGAGGGGGTGAGGGTGGTGGAGGCGACGGTGGTGGCGGCGACGGCGGGGGTGGGGAGGGCGGCGGCGGCGATGGCGGAGGTGGCGAGGGCGGCGGAGGGCTCGGTGGCGGTGGCGACGGAGGCGGTGGTGACGGTGGCGGCGGCGAGGGGGGTGGTGGGCTGGGGGGAGGTGGCGAGGGAGGCGGTGGTGATGGAGGCGGCGGGCTCGGCGGAGGCGGTGAGGGCGGGGTCGAGGGGGGAGGCGTCGAAGGCGGAGGCGGCGAGGGCGGGGGCGGGCTCGGCGGCGGTGGCGACGGTGGAGGCGGTGAGGGCGGTGGCGGCGAGGGAGGCGGCGGCGAGGGCGGCGGGGGCGATGGTGGGGGTGGGCTGGGCGGCGGCGGTGACGGCGGTGGCGGTGAGGGTGGAGGCGGCGACGGCGGTGGCGGACTCGGGGGAGGCGGCGAGGGAGGTGGCAATGGCGGCGGCGAGGGCGGTGGCGGCGAGGGCGGTGGGGGTGAGGGAGGCGCCGAAGGCGGCTGGTGATAGACATAAACTTCGACGTGGCTGTGAGTGTGCCACGGATCAGCACCCTGCTTGAGGCAAAGGTGGTACGTGTCAGTCGCCGTAAGGAGGATGTCGACAGAAAGGTCGTTGTTCAAGGCGGGAAAAACGTTGCTGTCAAGTGCGCCAAGAGCGTCGGCGCAGGTCTGTCCAGAGCCGCTGCTGATGAAGCTGACACGATCTCCGATAGAGACGCCATGATCTCCAGCAAATGTCAGAGAAACCGCAATCCCAGACCACAGGTTGATGCGGTAGCGCTCAGACTCGGGATAAGGCGGCGGACCTCCGTTGACTGTGATAAAGATGTCTGGGGGTGGCGACGGTGGCGGCATCGGCGGAGGCTGCGATGGCTGGGTGAAAGGGACGGTGAGGGCCACGTCGAGAAGAAGCGACAGCATCGATCGCACGGCGTCCGGTGGGCGCTCCCGCGGGCCGTGGTGTCCCCCTTTTGAGTTCGTCGGAATTCTCGGCCTAAACGCGACGGGCGCGTCAGCGGGCGGTTTCGGTTACTTCGGTTATTGAACGTTGCGTGATACGGGCAGAACAAACGCTTGGCTGAGGGGTTGCGTCCGAGCCACCAAATATACCTACAACCAAATACCTACCTATACCTACCTAACGATATCAGAAATCCTCGACAACTTCCTCGGCTACGGTTCCGACTCCCAAGCCACACGACATCAGTCACAAACACAAAATCTCACCTGGCAACCCTGTCTGCACGTCTCGCGCGCGCGTGAACTTGGTATTGCTAAAAATCTCTCTCAGTCACCCCGATCACCGATCACATCAAAATGGGAGAGCGGAGATCTTCTTAATTTTTTTGCCCTTTGCCCTACTCGTACGAGTAGGCGAGGCGAAGCGGGATCTTTTTCCGTAATTCGCCGTGCTCGTAAAAACGCGAGTGGCCGGCCCGCGACGAAGAGCAATGGGCAAGCGACTCGACAGCCTCTCGAACGAGGAGAAGGTCGCAATCCTGGCACACACCCGGCCACAAGGATCCGCCGAATCGCGCTACTGTCGCACTGGGAACGCCACACTCTCCACACCCTTCCCATCCCTGAAAACAGGCGCTCGTCGGAGGGAGCCGCCGAATCCATTTGACTGTTCGCCCCTCGTCAAGCTGCTCAAGCACGCGGCGAGTAACCTTGGCGCTGGCGTGCTCCGCTGCCTCTTTGCTTACTCCGCCTTCAAGGGCGCTGCCCCCGGCCCTCTATCGCAGCAGGTCTGCATCGGCCCGAGGATGGTGTCGGTGCTCGAGGCTTCCGGCACCTACGCCACACGGCTGTGGCATTGCTCGATTGTGCTCGCGCGGCTGCTGGCATCCAACTGCGAGGCGTTCGATGGGACGCGCGTGGTCGAGCTCGGCGCCGGGACGGGTCTTTGCTCGCTCGCACTGGCTGCGACTTCCAGCGCCTCGATCGTCGCCACTGACTCGGATGAGGCGGGGCTGGCGCTACTCCAGCAATCGGCGGACGGGCAAGGTCTGCGGCTCGCCACAGCCGTCCTTGATGTGTGTGGCGACGATTCTCTGCCCGAGGCCGCGTGGCTCGTCGCCTCGGACGTGCTGTATACGCCTCAGTTGGCTCAAGCGGTCGCGCGGCGTTGCATCGAGATGGTGAGGCGCGGAGGTCGCGCCATCGTGGCGGACCCGGGCAGGCCGGCCAGACCCTACTTCGTGGCGGCCCTCGAGCAGGCGGGGATGCCCTCCTCGTTCCGGCTTCCGTCTCAGTGTTTCGCTGGTGGCGACGCCAGGCTGCTTCTCGTGCATATTGAGGGAGAGAAGTCAGTCTCAGCATTCCCGGCCTTTGCTGAGCTTGAGGGGTAGGGCGTAGGCGTAGCACGTGCGCGCGCTCCGATCGGCCATGAGAATGCCGTGCGAGTTCACAGGGCGCACAGGTTGTTGCAGCGCGCGGACTCCAGGCCTTTTTAGTCCGTTTCTCTCGATCGATCGCGTCTGCCGTGAGCGTGACGCCACAGTGTGAACCCCCTGCGCGCGGGCCTTCTAGGCCCGCGGGTAGTCTCCCCCCATCCCCAGGGCCTCCAGGGCTCGCACCTCAACCTCTCATAGACCAACGCACAGCGCCATACGAGAGGTATTTTCTCTCAATATATAACACAAAAGGCTGTGAACAAGAGCTGAACGGCCCGTCTCTGACGAGTATTTATTTTTATGTGAACCTCTGTGCTCAGAGTTCATTTGATCGAGATGAAAGGTCGGCGTGGACGGACCATCGACGCACTCACACACACACACACACACACACACACACACACACACACACACACACAGAGAGAGAGAGAGAGAGAGAGAGAGAGAGAGAGAGAGAGAGAGAGAGAGAGGCGAGTGACAGCCCCTCAAGTTGACATCCCGCCTCCCTTCGTGTGTCACCTCAGCTTCAGCTCAGACCTGGCGCCTTGGGCTTGGCACAGCTCAGCGCGCCCTCGCGCATATGCACTCATCTACAACTCATCGGACGGCCCTAACCCGTCCACTAACTCCGAGTAGTCGTCGTCGTCGAGGGCGTAGTCGATCGTGTCCGGGCCCTCCACGTTGCGCGAGTGGCTCAGGTCGACAGGCGCCCCGTAGTCATACGCCGACCCGTAGTCATACGCGTCTCTCTGCTGGCTCATCAGCTCCAGGAAGCGGGCTAGCTCCAACTGAGAAACGGAGCCGCTGCCGTCCGCATCCATGCTCGCGAAGCCCTGCTCGATGGTTTCAGCTGACGCGTCGGGCCCGAACACCCCAGAATCCCGCATCTCGCGTTCGCTCACCCTCCCATTGCCGTCGGCGTCCATCAGAAAGAAGAACTGCGCAGCCTGCTCAGCTGACTCTGACGAGGCGCCACTAGGGCGCGCGGGCTTGGACTTTTTCTTCTCGGGGTGGAGGGCCTCGTACTTGGCCAGTGCATTGTGCTTCAACGCGAGCGCCCTGAGTTCGCTCTTGCTTGCGGACTCGGAGAACGGGACGTCAACAGCTGTCAACACGGCCTTGAGCTGTCGTGTGGTCTTCATCCGGACCTCGCGGTCGGCATCGGGCGGGGCGGGCGCAGCAGCGGTCAGCAGCGCCGCTAGCAGCATGCAGGTGTAAGGTGGTGACGTGTGTTTGCGCGATGGATTTAAAAATTCGTCCGCTTGTCCTTTCGCCTGCGGAAACGTTCAGCTCCCCTTAGATGTCCCCTTCGCCACGTCATCACGGATCTCCGATGCATGTCGGCCCCTCCGACGCCGCTGCGCCCCGCTCCAGCGTGGGAGGTACTTACTTTTGCTTGGGTGGGCCTCATCACGGGGTAGGTAGGGTAGGTCTGGGCCCTCCCGTCGGGTTTTTCCCTCTCTTCACGCTGGCTGGAATTTTCACAGCAGAAAAAGAAATTTTTCGGAAATCACGATGTCAAACGTCCCCAAGTGGGTGATCTGATGCTTGTAGGGCCTGAGAGTGGCCTGCCATGTCACAGGAAGGACTGTGGTTGCAGGAGAGTACCACCACCCATCACTTTAGTTGGTATAGTAGCGTCCCACCTTCACCCGTCCGATGATTTCTTTTTTGTTTCCCATAACGCATAAGTAGGGTAGGTAGGTAGGCAGGTAGGTAGGTAGGTAGGTAGGTAGGTAGAGGTAGGTAAGGTAGGTAGGAAGGGGCACCGCAGGGGCCGGTCAGGTTTTTGCAGAATTGCATGATGAGGCCCACCCAAGCAAAAAAAGTACACACCTGGAGCCGGCGCAACAGAGTTTGACCGTGTTCATTCCTTCCTTTGTTTGGAGCACGCTCACCCACAAGACTCATGTCCGACACACACTCGAGGGCGCTCTAGCTGCCGGGACGTGGGGCGAGGGGCGAGGGCGCCGGCGGCGCTGAAGGGCTGTACCACTTTGCATAAGGCGGTACATGCCCGCAGTTGAGAAACCAGCTCTCAGAGCAGTTGCAAGGGATGTCCGCGTTCCATCCGGTACGCAACACCGGCGCCGGCTCACCGCCGTAGAAGTGGCCTGGCGGGCCCGACCATTGCCCTTCGGCCGGCGGGCAGGCGTGAGGCAATGGAGAGCTGCGAACCATGCATTCGCGGTGCACGGCGACGATCTCCGAGCGTGGCGCGCCTGAGGATCCAGGGTGCGCCTCGATCGCACTGGTCGGCCGTCCGGGCCGAGGTGCATGGCCGACTCTGTGCTCAGGGGTGCACGTCTGGGGTGTGGGCTGACTTGCGGCGCACCCCGCTCGGCCTGCTTCGGGTACACCTTGTACGACTGAGGAAGTACTAGCGAGTCGTAGCCGCCCTTTGCCGTCTCGCGGGCGTACAAGCAGTCCGTCGGCATGTCCAAGACGCCGGGAAGTCCACGCTCGAGCTCAACTCTGTTGGTGAACCAAAGCCCGTTGTCGACGCGGAGGAAGATGCCCGAGCCGATTGCGCCCGAAAACCAGCAGCCATAGTCCATGCCCTCGGCTGCACCGAGCGCAGGGTCCGAGACGTAATCCTCAGGATCGAACAGGTTGTCGCCTGCGGTTGTGGCATAGGCGGGGTCCGTCCACCTCCCTGCCTCGTGAGCGTTTCACCATCCAAGGCGGCGCGCACCCTTACCGCAGACGCCACGAAAGGTGTCGCGGCTGTGACGCGAAACCTCGTACCACCGCCGCGGCGCGTTGGGCTCGCGCGGGCGGAGGGCCAGCGTCATCCCGCGAAAGCGCAACTCTACCCCCTCCGGCCAGTACGGCTCGGGCACCTGTGGACATATCCGAGCCGAGGAGCTCAAATGAATGCATTCGTTTCGACGTGGCACGCGGCGCTAGGTATGTCTGGAGAGCGGTGTGGCGGGGTGAGTCTCGAAAGTTGCGCCACTTCACCTCCCAGTCCAAGTGGTGCTGCCGGAGCCGCTCACTGCTTGGAACCTCGCGCTGCAGCCAGCGGTCGCACGTCGCCTGCTCGCAGGGTGGCCTCGTCTCGAATTTGACGGCGCACTGCCTCGCGGGCAGCAAATGCAGGTAGAAGAAGCCGAACGTCTGCAGGTCGAGCGGGAGCGGGACGTCCGAATGGTAGACCGTTTTGAGGTAGTCATACCTGACACATGGCGCCCATCGAGGGTGAGCAGTGCGCAGCAGCGAGTCGTCGGCAGAACGTGGCCTCGCCAAGGCGACTCGCGACTGGTAACTTTTGGAAGTCGGAGGTGCCAACGCCGCAGCGCCGTCTGGTTGCACACGTCGAAGCAGTAGCATGAGGTTGGAGGCGGCGGGCTCTCAGGCTGAGCTTGAGGCTGCAGGAGGAGGAGCAGGAGGATGATCGCGGCAGCCGCAGCGCATGCCAACGGTATCGCTCTCCTCGACTCCGGAAGAGCGGGAGGAGACTCTGCTGCTACACCGCCAGGCAGTTTGGGAGCCTCTGCTCGTTCCTCAAGGGTCGCGTACCGCCCCGCAGCCCGCGCAGGCGGCCGCTTCGGCCTCGTTTGCCTAAATGCGCGCGTGCCGTCGCAGGACGGCGCGACAGGCAATGCGCGGGCAGCCCGAGTCCGAGTCGGCCGCGGATCGTCCGTATCGTCCGTAAACGTATCGTCCGTAAAGGACGTGCCCTTCATGGCGCGGTCCGCAAGCGCCCGCCGAAGTGGGTTTGGGGCAAAAGAGGGAAAAAAACGGAAAGCGGCGAGTCGCAATTCCTGGGGTCCTTGTGGCGGGCCACCCTGTGATGTCACAGGCAGATCTTGGTTAGCCGAACAAATTTCCCGCCGCACCCCAACTTGGATCTCCTCGCCTCGCCCTCCCGACGCCTAGCCGCTCGCCTGCCGCTCGCTCGCACGTTCGCGCTCGACCTTCTACCTCCTCGTGATCAACCCGCCGCCACCCTCACCCCCCGCCGCCTAGCCGCTCGCTCGCCGTTCGCTCCCCCGCTCGCGCCAGACCTTCTACCTCCTCGTGATCCACCCGCCACCACCCTCGCCTCGCCCTCCCGCCACCTAGCCGCTCGCTCGCTCCTATCCGTGCCACGCCTATCCGTGAGCCTGCCGTTACCGCGCCGTCCTTGCTCCTCCCTGCCGTGCCGCTCCTTCCTCCGTGCCGCGCCGCCCTTGCCGTTTAGCCCGCCGCCCCCCCTGCCGTCCGTTACCGCCGTGCCGCCGTACCGCCCACGCCGCCGCCGCCCTCCACCCCCTCCACACCGCCGCCACCGCTGCTCACGCCGCCGCCGCCCTCCACCTCGCCCACGCCGCCGCTACCCTCCACCTTCTTCCCACCGCCGCCGCCGCCGCTCACGCCTCCACCGCCTTCCATCTCACCCACACCTCCGCCGCCCTCCACCTCTCCCATGCCGCCCCCCCGCCCTCCACCTCGCCCACCCCTTTGCCACCACCCTCTCCTTCGCCGCCCCTCGCCCCCACCGTCCTCCACCTCCACCCCTCGCCCTCCCCCCCGCCCTACCGAACCACCCGCCGCCCGCCCATCCCGACTTCCGCCCTCCCGCCGCCCTCCCCCCTTTCTGCCCCTCCGCCTTCGCCATCCCCCATCTGTGCATTCCACTCCGTTCGCTCCCTCCCGCTTGGCGCCCATCCCGCCCTCAGCCCTCGCCCTCCGCCCCTGCCCTGGCTGGCCTGGGTGGCATCTCCGCATCATCACGCGCCAAGCGGGAGAGGGAAGTGGACGGGGCCCTGAGCCGACCTAGCCCCAGCCGGAACGGGGCGCCCAACACGTGCCCGGATTACTGTGCCTTCCCCGGGTGCAGCCTTTCGGTTCGTGAAGGCTGAAGGGTCGGTGCGTGTCGTGACCCCCTGGAACACCCGTACCCCCGCACCATCTCCGTCGCTTGGTTCCATAACCTCTGCCACAACCGGGAGCGGCCAGGACTCATAGTACATAGACTCGGTCGAGAGACCCCAGATTGGCATCCATGCCTCTCTGGACAGGGTGGCCCGCCACAAGGACCCCAGGAATTGCGACTCGCCGCTTTCCTCCCGCTGTGATTCTGTGTGAGCTCTGTGTCTTGATTTGCCACCAATACACCTTTCGCCTAAAGAAAAGAAAGCTGTGCGCCGGCGCGCCTTCGACGAGTGCACACTGCGCACACACATGTCACTTCTCGACGCGTCCTGCATTCGCGTGATCGCCGAGTCGGTCGGCATCGCCCAGGTGAGCGACGAGGTTGCCGAGGCGCTCGCGCCTGACGTGGAATACCGGCTGCGGGACATTGTGCAGGCGTGCAGCCGCTCCGTTGTGAGGGAGCGTGCATCCCTTCGGAAGATGGCGGCGCTCCCGCAGCGGCCGACACAGAGGCCCAGAGCTCCCCGCACGAGCGTCGTGTGTGGCTCCTCTCGCGAGTGTGGCACTACCCAGTGACTGAGTCGTCTTCGCACCATTGCCTGTGCAGGAGGCTCTCAAATTCATGCGGCACGGCCGGCGCGAGACGCTCACGTGCGACGACATCAACTTTGCTCTCCGTGCGCGCAGCTGCGATCCGCTCTACGGCTACTCAGGCACCGACCCGCCGCGGTTTTGTCGCGCCAAGGGCACACAGGCACACGCGCCCTGCCTCGCCGCCACGCCTGCACGCCCCTCGACCCAGCTCCTCGCTCCACGCCTCCACGCCTCTGCGCCTCCCCCCCTTCCATGGGGTAAGTGGATTATGGGTTACACTCACTTGTGCCTGCCGCGGCCGGCCGACCCCCCCCCCTATTTCACTTGTGGACCTGTCCAACCTCATGT